CCGTGTGTAAATTTGTTGTATTCTGGGCATATTACGGCAATTGCATCCGCCGATCGGTATTTTTTCTGTAGCATCTGTAGTCGTGATATAACAGCATTGTACGGCGGGCCATTGACCATCACGTCCCCTGCCGCCGCTCTCCCGCCCGCCCTCTGCACAGTTCTCCGCCCGGATAATGCGCCGATCTGCACCCCGCCGGGCAACCCACCGCTGGCCTTCGTAACACTGCGCGGGGGCGGAATGCTTGTGCTCGACTACACAAAGACGCCGATGCAAGTCGTAGCGGAGTACGACAAAAATCACATTGGAGCCAACGGATGCGGCGGCGTCGCAGCGGGCAATTACATGTACGACATGAGAAGCTAGACTAGATACCAATAATACGTGCGGATGGGGGCATGCGGGTTGGGCACTTGTTGGCTTCTTGCTGCGATGTCAGCCATGGAGCATGGGAGACGTTATATGGCTGCAAACATGAAAACCAACCCGGCACTGTTACCTGGCCCTTCCCTTACGGAAGAAGCAATTTGTCGAGTTATTGTTGACTTTTGGGGCCGCATTCAGGGTTTCGCAGCTTTGGGAATTCCACGGAAAGGTTGGGATTCTGTTGGCGCACATCACCCCTTCTTGAGAATTATATCTGGCAAATTGCTGTGCTCGCGAGAGCGGTTACCGATGAGCGGTTAATTATCTGAGGTGATGACGTTTATTGGTATATTAGTCTCTACTGCAGTGCACGGCCAGCTGGCCCGATGGCTCTACTCTTCAGGAGTCTGGAGCCCACTGTAACAACCACACACACTTGTTGGCTTCTGTTATGACTGTCCGTGTAGCCCGTGTACATACGGACATGGAAACAAAACAGATACGTAAACCTTGTTAAAGTCTCCTGGCTCCTGGTGCTGCAGTACAGTCACCTTCGTCCCTGCCGTTCATGTTCCCTGCCGGCGTAGGTACATCAACTCTGGAGGCGGCACCCTAAACAACCTGTACGAGTTCAAGGTACGGCATATTGATTGCATCATGCAAATCGGAAATGCCGTACATTGCCTGGCGGAGAGGCATGCGATGTGCAGTAAATTATTTCCTGTTGTGGGTGGCGTGCAGGTATACAAACTGCCCCAAACCGGCTACGCGGCAGGCAACCCGCCCAACACGCCCCCACCTAAAGTGGTGGCTGACGACAGTACAGGTGAACGGGACGCGCACTACGCGGGCGTCACCTACAATCAAAAAATGTGAGTACGAGTCTTATTCATCCACCCAGCCATCGATGTATACATGGCGAGATCCGAGAACCTGGGTGTCGATCTAGGTGGGCGAGCTAGTACAGATTCGTGTGCAGGTCGCGCCCGAGATCCATGCATTCATTCAGGGTTTGAAATCCGCAATGGTACGAAATTCTATGCTACCAATCGACCTACGGGCCTGCAGTTTTCTTATGGTGACCCAAAGGATTATTCTACATACCTGCCGTACCGTGTGTCCTGCTTGCCGTACGTTCTCACTGCTTGCCGTACGTTGTTGCATCTGAGGGACTGAAGTGCTGGGATTGGGGGATGTACATCTCCCAATGAGTTTTACACACCCTAAGTGACAAGTTGGGTGTCGGCTTCCTTGAAGCCGGAAAAAGGGCGCCCCCCCCCTGCATCCGTACAGGCCGGTAGCTAGGGCGGCATGCGTGGCAATTGATGGGTAGTATCAACGTGGTGGGAGCTTGTGTTTGTGTCACAAATGTATTTTTTCGGAGCGATTTCGGGACTATTCCGTGGCACACCCATCGGTAGCTGACCTTATGAAGTATGTTTATCCTCGAAGCACCAGCGGCTACAGCAATCCACCCCACTGCCGCGAGCTTCATCGCGGCACACTGCAAGTCTTCGGAGGCCCCGAGCATTAGCCAAAGTAAATCTATAAACGAGCAGCTTGTGAAAGCAAATTTGTCAAAATGCCCGTGCGAGCAAAGGGTAGCATAAGCTGGGTGTTCGAGTTATCATACGCTGTCATCTCAGAATTCAGTTATGAGATATGCGGCACCTTTTGGAGAGTAAATTTAGCCCGAGAGGTGTTGAATTGACTTTGGGCTCGGTGAATGGAGGCAGCCAAAGTTGTTTGTGCTCATACGATCTTTGTTGGCTACAGGCGAGATAACTTGCAATAGAGAATGCAATATATTACGAATAACGCGTTTCAGCCAGGCGAGATATTATGTTTGGTCCGACACACAGAGACACACACACACACACGCACACACGCACACACGCACACACGCACCCACACACGCACACACACACGCACACACACACGCACGCACGCATGCACGCACGCACGCGGCCACACGGACATGGGCAATCCTACAGAGCGGGGTCCCCCAGCGCTTCACGCTGGGGCCCCGCCCAAAACATACACTGGCGCCCTGGCTCGGCCAGGGTCTGCAGCCTATCCTATCCTTTGGAATGCATGCTGGATGCGTGCTGTGTTACGTGCGCAGAAAGGCCAGCTATTTCTGGCAGCCGGACAGGGCTCAAAGCGTCATCGACGTATTCTCTATCAAGTCTGACAAGTTCGTGAACCGAATCGATCTCAAGGCCACCAACCTTTCAACCGACCCCACACCGGATGCACTGGCCATCTCGCCGCTAATGGTGAGAGGAAAGAACTAGCTGGGTGCCATTATACGCTCTTGATGGCTTCGAACTTGCGCTGGTTGTCACCGCTCCGCCGTCAAAGCTGCTGGTGCACCTGGTGCGTGAACCTGTCAGACCACACTCCACAGCTGGTGGCTTCGGACTCGCCGTTCCATTCCAGCCATGCACACATACCGTGCACAGAGAGCCAAGGACAAGTTTCTTCTCCCCAGGAATGCAGGCATCGTCCGGTGTGGCACATACCAGCCATAGATGCACACGGTAAAGTTCATCCCCAGCATCTCGAGAAGCCCTTTCAGCGGCTAGACAGGTACAACATAATGCTTAACTGCTAGGGTGCACTTCGATGTGGCATACAATTGCTTCTGCTCTATTTATGCCAGACAACCTTCCATGAGCCAGCCGGTAACCAATTTGCGGATTGCAGCCTAACTCAGTTTGTGTTCGTCAGCCGTAACTCCCTATCTGTAACACAGCAAAGGCGTAACCCGGGATGCTCAGATTGGCATTTGCGTCGTTACATTGCCCCCCACTTAGCAATGGACGTCCTCGGCCATTATTTCGAGCACAGGAGCCATCCCACCTCGCGCCAGTGCGCTGGTTTATCCATTACACCATGAAATCGCCAATTTGCGACTTGCTGGTTGCCAGAATCGAACCGCCGACCCGAAGTTTTTTTCGGAATTCGTGCGGTCCCGTCTCGATACCATTGTAACACAGCAAAGGCGTAACCCGGGATACTCAGATTGGCATTTGCGTCGTTACACTATCATCCTTAAACCCATCCCCCTTAAGTTCCCGTGATCGACGACCATGCCTATTCATGTATGCGCACATAAGTATGGCCCCGTGCACTGGTGCAAATTTCTCCCACTGGATTGAAACCAGAATAAACGGCAGCCAATACGGAGCAGTCTGCGGTCAGTTCAGCTTGCAACCGTGTGTATGTATGTATGTAGAGTCGGTCCCTCCTGTAGCACATACAGCCATCTGCCACGCGGGCCTCACCGATACCTTATCATCAAGCATGCACATACATACATTCACACATACCAATCAAAACAGTCACGCGTGCACACCTCTTAGCACGTACGTACTGCAACTGCCCACACCCCCACGCAGGACTATGCCTTCGTGAGCCTCCGCGGGCTGTACCCAATGTCCGCGGACCCGCACGTCAGCACGGTACGTTGGTCACAACGGTTTGCGTGCGCAGCCGCCCGATGTGGGGCCTTTTGTTTCCGCCCGGGAAAGGCTTTTGCATCTGGTGACAGGAAGCGTGTGCGTATGCTTTTGCAAGTGTGCTACTGATTTATTATTGTGCCTCTGCCGTCTGTTGGGAGAAAGCTATGTTAAACACGTGATTTGCATGTCCGTATCCGCGCAGGGGAGCTCTCCAGGCCTGGGGATTCTCCGGGTCATCCATTCTGGTCGGAGTGCGCAGCTGAAGGCTATCGTCCCCATCGAGAACATGGTCAATGGCACGAACCGTGCTGACCCGCACGCGCTGGGCTTGTACGTGACTAGCGCCAACTGTCCAGAGGCATATGGCTTCCGGCGGCAGCTGCGCGGTCGCAGCTGATTGATTAAATTAGCAGAAGACCAGCTCTGTTGCTACGCGGAATAGTGGGTCCAGCGCTTATAAAAGGGACCCTTGATATAGCTCCAGCAGCTGCAGTCGTCTGTACAATTTTTGGTCGCCTAAAGATGGCACCCTTATATGAAATCGAATGGACGGTTCCTATATAATATTCCACGGAACGATGGATAGACGATAAAACATTTTCAGACGGTAAAAGAAGGCTCTGGACGCATACGGACTAGTTCTGCTCGTTTTAAAGTTTCGGGATTGTGGGCGGACCTGTTTGATGCGGGCGTGTGTGTATATGTTGTCATGCATTGTGCTATGATCTCACGGAAAGGGATGGAGCAACTGCTCATGCTCTTGCTCCCGTGATTAATATCTCACCCCACAAGATGTCGGAGCAGCGCGTGACGCGGGTTGTTATAATGTACGACACGGGACCCCGATTTTTGGCTGGGGATCTAGGTCTTAGGGGTCCCAGCCTAAATATGCAAAAATAAGCAGGGCGTGAGCGCGTTTTCAAGAATCCTGATTAATACTGTTATACAACTTATAATTATGGAACGTATGCGCTAAAGAGCAGGCTCTGGCATGCTTTTCGCTGGCCATGGCCAAAGCGAACAGCTGTCAGTCCTTTGGCGGTGTTGATTCCGATAGAAACTGTTCAATTTGCCGTTGTAAACACAAGCACACTCCTTTAGAAAGCGAGCTGCAGGATTTCTTGGAACGTTTAGGCATAGACAAAACGTTCACCTCTGACTACCTGCATGCTCAGGTCTTCTCTAGTCGTGTCAAAGGTGATTACACAAAGTTGTATAGAGTCAACTGCGGCGGAAAACAGGTATCTTTCCGCGTGAACTGCCAGCAATTGCTGGTCCAGGTCTCCTTTCTGAGAAGCCAGGCAAGTTAAACATTATTGTTATACCACTGTTGTAGTGCCAGGCAGGCAGGCAAGCCTGCACGCGGGGGCGGTTTCGTGGTTTTCTTACCCGCCCTCACCCACTGCCACCCGCCAGCGGGATGCTGTTCAGCAGGGGCAGGGGGCCGCAGCCAGCACAGCAGCTTGGCAGCGGCGTCAACGGCGTCAACGACTATGGCGCCGCCGGCCCTTCGACAATCAGCCTTAACGATGGTCATGGGGCCAGCGGGATGGGGGGGCGCAGGGGCGGGGGTTTGCTGCCAGCACAGCAGCTTGGCAGCGGCGTCAACGACTATGGCGCCGCCGGCCCTTCGACAATCAGCCTTAACGATGGTCATGGGGCCAGCGGGATGGGGGGGCGCAGGGGCGGGGGGGTGCAGCCAGCACAGCAGCTTGGCAGCAGCGTCAACGGGGTCAACGACTATGGCGCCGCCGTCCCTTGGACAATCAACCTTGACGATGATCACGGGGCCAGCGGAATGCAGTCCAGCAGGGGCAAGAGGGCGCAGCCAGCACAGCAGCTTGGCAGCGGCGTCAACGGCGTCAACGACTATGGCGCCGCCGGCCCTTCGACAATCAGCCTTAACGATGGTCATGGGGCCAGCGGGATGCTGTTCAGCAGGGGCAGGGGGCCGCAGCCAGCACAGCAGCTTGGCAGCGGCGTCAACGGCGTCAACGACTATGGCGCCGCCGGCCCTTCGACAATCAGCCTTAACGATGGTCATGGGGCCAGCGGGATGCTGTTCAGCAGGGGCAGGGGGCCGCAGCCAGCACAGCAGCTTGGCAGCGGGTCAACGGTGTCAACGACTATGGCGCCGCCGGCCCTTCGACAATCAGCCTTAACGATGGTCATGGGGCCAGCGGGATGGGGGGGCGCAGGGGGGGGGGGGCGCAGCCAGCACAGCAGCTTGGCAGCGGCGTCAACGGGGTCAACGACTATGGCGCCGCCGTCCCTTGGACAATCAACCTTGACGATGGTCACGGGGCCAGCGGGATGCAGTTTTGGGGGGCTACAATGTATGTGTTGAGCCCTGTACTGTGATAACCGTAGCTACAAACTAGTTCGGATCTGTTAACTCAGGGTTTCTCATGTGGTACGACAAATCTGATTGGTCGTCACTTGCAGTCGTACTGTAGGTTCAAAGGACCTGGGTGTATGGTTTTTAACTCTTGAATTTTGCTTATGCTTTAATTCATCATGCGGCTGTGATACTCCAAAGCACCGTTGCACCTGACATAGACGGTAGAAAGATCACCTGCATGCACACCACATGCAAGACTGCAGCCTGACAGCCCAGCCCCAGCCCCACGACAACCCCCAACTGGATGAAGGGACAACCTATAGGAATCTATATAAAGCCCATGTGCGCATTCCAAAGACACCACAATAAACACAACCGGAATGGACCCTGCGTCAATTCAACTCTAGGTGAAAACCGCCGGCCACAGGACAGGGAACACGATTTCAGCACAGGTCCAGCTGCAGTCTCTTCTTATATGTCTTCGGCATCAGGCATGTGAGAGGCGCAAGGCTGGTTGCGTTTGCCGTACAGAGCACAAGAGGTGGTTAGTGGGTGGGGCCAGCCATACAGCTCCAGAAGGATAAAACCACCGATGCTTGGCTGCTAGGCGCCGAACCAGCTGCTGAAGCTTCTCGTTGTATGGCATCAGGCCGTTGAGGGGTGCAAGGTGTAGCCGCGTTTCTACAATGCACGGAGCCTTAGGCCGTGGGAGCCGGGTTGGGGCCGGGTTCGGGCCGCTTCTCTGTTTTCACGGATTTGCAGGTTCACTTTATAGTTTTCATTACGTTTGCTCCGCTGACAGGAATGACATTGACTCGTTCAGCATGGGTGCAAGTAGCGTCAATCAAGTAGTTAACGACACACGACCATATGATTGCCACTGATATATATATTGGACCTCCTTTGATCTCATGGTTTTGAAGAAGTTGAATGCAAGCTAGTGGCGTGTGTCTCTGCTTACCTCCGGTCTCTGCTTACCAGTTTAGAGTTAACGAATTTAATAGTATATATTTGCAACATTTGCATCGTTATAACCTGCAATGAAATGTATGGGTCCCGGGATGCCGTATGGTATCGGGTCCCTAAGGGTCCGGGACCTTTGCATAGCATAAGGTACTGTATTGCCAAGGTGATTTGATGATTTCCATTTGGCGAGAGCCAAAAAACGCCTTCGGAAATTGCCTTCGCACATGCCAATTGGTGACAGCTCACGCGGGAAATAGGTCTGGATTTTCACGTGTTCTGAAAATTGGTGACGGCCAAAAGGCCCACCGCGCACGCGCACAACCGCGCCGTTGAGTCACTACACATACAACTGTCACTAAAAACGAACAATAATAAAAACTATAAAATATATATGATAGGATTAACCAGTCTCAGCGTGATATCTTGCTTTTATGTTGGACCATTTCTTTAGTTTGCGCGGCATTTGGCGGCCAGTCGTACGGAAACTCTCAGGCGCGCATCCGGAATCGCTGGACTTAAGGAATTTTACGAAAGCTCTGTAAGGGGAACACTTAGAAGTGTCTCACGTGTGTTGGTTTCAATTCCGGTACGTGGGGCAGGACTTGGTTACCGTACTCCTCTCACCAAAGATGACGTGATAAGCGCAGCATGATGACTTGCCAGCCAAGGCGACCTTCGAAGTTCCCTTGCCGCGCCCCCAACTGAGGCCTGCACGTGCATGGGACGATCATGGGCCTGGGCAGGTAGATCGAGGGGGTGGTAGTTGTGGAGCTCGAGCGAGCTGCATGCATGGAGGCGAGCCAGGTAGGCTTACCTTGCAGGAGAGGTGTAAGGTCTGCACGTATGTGTATCAGCTTGCGTGTTTTTTGTGGTAACCGTGGGGGATAACCGTGCGGGTTTCAGCAAGATGTGCAGCTTTGAGTAGCCATATTTCCAATCTCCTACTCACCTTGCTGTCCCTGTCCTTTTCCAGTGTGTAAAGCCAACGAGTACTTCAACGGGTCGGATTACCGGTGTTAACGCCAGCAGCTCAATCGGCAGGGTGGCTCTCCCGAGTTGTTGTCCTTGACCCCCTGGCATAAACTGGGGGTAAACCCCCCCTTCAGCGTTACCCAAGGGGTAGGGGCAGGGGTAAGTGGTTACAAATGTTGCTTTGTACGGAGGGAGGTGGGTAACCTGGTGGGTAACGGGTACGAAGGGTGGGTACGAAGGGAGGTGGGTAACCCCGGGGTAAGGGGTAACCCCTTACTGAGGGGTAACAGAGGGGTCGGGGTAAAGTACCGGTATTTTGACGGTTGTGCCAGTAAACAAATCAATTAACTCGTCCCTTGCTAAAAGAGAGCGGGTGGGTGGGTGGGCTTGATCAAAAACAATACATAGGGAAAATTAGCCCACCATGTTCCGGAATTCGCCGTCATCCGCGGGCTTGAGTGATAGTCCTCTAGTTCGACTAGTGCGGACCGCTGTGGTGCGGCCAGGTCCCAGTGAAGTTTCCGAGGTGCGTCCCGATCATTGGCGGATATCATGCCAGGGATACTATCTGCCAGCAATGGGCTCCTGATAGCTGGTAAAAACTCCGGAGCCAATCCTGCGAGTTGCATACATGGCTGCTGCAGCATCGCCCTACATTGAATCTGTTGAACTGTGATCCAGAGTGTGTTTTGTGTTTCTTCAAGGAGCACTGGAAACGTGCTCACCCAGGAAAAGTCCGTGTGGATCGTTTGCCCTGCCCCACAGCTTTGCAAGGGGCCATTTCCGATTTGTCCACCGCGTTCAACCTACTAAACCGACGAGGTCCTTATAACACCGATACCCGCTGCGGAAATCCTTGCGAGAGTCTACCAGTCCGGGGTGATGGCAAAGGTTATCGGGAAATCCTGGCCCGGCAGGGCCACGCTGAGCGGGGTGCCGTACCTCTATCCTACACAAAATTCCTGGTGCTGAGCGGCCTGCCGGCAACACGCCAGCTCCCATTCCTCGCATAATCCTGCTGCAGGACCTAAGTGTGTTCAACCTGCTGTGGAGCACCTGCATGCGCGGTCACGACTGTGGAGAGCTTCAGGTGGATGATCTCCGTGACCCTGAACATCCCAGGACTCCCTTCCGGGGCTTCCCTGGCGCTGATGTCCCTGGCGCCGATGGTCGAGTTCCTGCTACTTGCCGGATTCATATTGCAAAGCTGGGCACCAAAACCTACCGGGGAGTCTGCGTGCCCGGTCAAATAGGGAACAGGTCCCCCGGCGCAGCAACCTGCCCGCTCAGTGCCCTCTCCCCATACCTTTCTGCCTGCTCTACGTACAACGTTCCGGTGACTCAGTATCTTTTTCGGCCGTTGGACAGCGATGGACAGCGTTTCAAGGAGGCACCCTTTACAACCGAGGCTCTGGAGTCTCTCGGCGCAAGCGTCATCTAAACTCGGTCAGGACGGCGGAGAGACCATTCACAGCTTTCGACGCGGTGCTTTGCAGCATGCCTTTCGGCAGGGTGAACCCCTCAGCCAGCTGCTGGCGAAAGCGAGAAGTCCCTTGTCCACCTTATGGCGGTATTTTCATCCCATTCGCCACATTCGGCAAGACGATAATGTGGAATCCGAGAATGACAGCGAGGAGGACTAGGCGCACCGAATCGGGTGGGGTACTGTGGAGTGTCTCCTGGGGGGGGAACACGGTGCGCCTACACGCCAACAGTCTCCAACTGAGGACAAGGTTGGCCTGAAGTTGGCCACCAATAACGCGCCCTACATCTCTGTCTAGCGCCCTAGATCTCTGTAACAACGCAACGTCATGAGGCCGCTGGCCTTCTTGTCATTAACTCTCCCAGGTACTCGGGAGCACTACTGAGGGACGCTGCTGCTGTTAAGAGCGGAGCCAGTTTGTAGTACGAGGAGAAGGAGCCGAAATGCCGCCAAACCAAGACGCGCATCAATTGTAGACCAGTTAGGCATTGCACTACAGACGGACGCATAGAGCCTGTTGAAGGCATTGTCCTGAGGGGAACTTCGTTGTATGGCATTTTTACTCCTTATTGATGAAGTCCTCCGTACCAACAATATGACGAACACAATTAATGATCAGCGTTTCATCAGCGCTTTATTATTTGGCATGCGCCTTAAAAGGGCAGCCCTTGGCTTGGCACCCTTCATGCCGTACCTAAACTAACCTCAATTGCAAGTCATTGGCTGCGTGGCCACCTAAATGTCTTTCATTCCCTCGATCAAGCACTATTCATGGTCCCTCCCTATGGCATAAAAAGGCGGGTTTATTGTGATATGCGGGGGCATCTCCTTCCTGCTCGCTTGCACGGCCGCCAGACCCATCCAATGCTGATATTCCGTCATGTGGATTCCTGGTTTCTTACTGTGTGACGAGTACACGTCTGGCTGGACATCTCGACGCGTATGCTTCAAACCAATCATCAATCGATCCTTGAACTCCGATACCACACCTTCCTGTTCGCTGAATTGTCACGGCTACCTCCCTGCAACCACGTTTTCAACCACGTTTTCTGTGGCACACCAAAGTTTTGCGACAGGAAGTGTTAGATCTCCAACCCCGGAGGAGCCGGATGGGGGGCACTAGTCTTCCGTTTTCTAAGTTTTCTGGGGCACGACGTATGGAAATAGTCCCCACAAGGGCTACACGAGGCAGGCGAACGAGGTTGACGGGTAACGTTTCATTGGCAGTTTGGCTGACTGTACCAGCCAGTAGCACATATTCCCTACCCTCAACGTTTCCTGTGTACGGACAAATAGTCCTAGAATAACGCTCTTTGCCTCAAACGGCGGCATAACTTGACCGACCTGGTCTCATGACTCGTCGAGCAGAAGGGCAGTTGCCGCCCGCTGGACTTGAACTCTGTGTTTAACTCTGTAAAGAAGGAAGGCGCCAAAAACCTTTATTAGGTTTATTAACTGAAATTCTGCCCTCCCGCAGCCTTTTTGCCCATGGCCGCAATTGTCCGTTTCGTCGGTGTAACCGCTGTGTCGCAGCTAGGTTGCCTAGCCAGGTATTGTTACAGCCGAAAGCGCCACGTAAGCATTGAGTGTTAATCTGCCAACAGACATAACCCAGCTATTTTTTCAATGAATGGCGGTTAAGGGCCAGCGCGAGTGGAAAAATCCAGAGCTGCATTTCCTGCGGAAGCGACTTACACTATTCAACAGGTTTGCCACTCTGTAATCATTTTCCTCAACGGATGGTTTTACCTTTACACACCAAGGTGGAACTGCGACGCAGCTAAGACGTGAAGCCGACGCAAGCGATAAGCGTCCGCGCGGGATGAACCTTAAAAGCGAAACCGGTCAGAAATGCAGGACTGTACCTTGTGTTATAAGGTACTAAAATTTTCATAGCAAATTGAAGGCGATCTGGTCTCTGGTGTAATAATTTACTGTCAGGCAGAGAGTCTTTAAATGTCCAGCAGTATCACCTTAATTACTTTTTTTAATTAACCGTTTTTGCACATTTATAATGCAGGAAAAGTGAAGCATTATCCCCGACAGTCAGACAGGTCAGACGATTTCCGATGGAAATTTCAACGGCGCAACGATTGGCGGCGTTTCAGGACTACAAGAAAATCTTGTCTTTGCCATGAAATGCAGGATGTAGCTCGCAGCTCGTAACCCTCGTCGCGCCAAATTAATAAGCATGACAGACAGGCCGTACTTCATCATGCTGCAGGACCGTGAAGGAAATTAAACGGTATCAACTACAGGACAAGACCAGTGCCAAAACGGAAACTCAGCGAGGTGACAATCGTGTGATCACGAGACCTGAGAGCTGTCTGAGGGCATCTATCGGCGCGTAAGGCCCATTTACAACGTTTGCCAATCATAGACATAACAAATTGCAGCATTTCGAGGTTTCCGATAGTTACCGGAGGTTTCGCGAGGTCAGGAAAGTCGAAAATGGGAAACTGTTGCGCAGCCGCAGTACAGGTTTCAGCCCGAGCATTGGACAGACTAAAATATAGACGAAGTGTTAGGTTAGCGACATTTCTAAAAATTAGCCTTGTGCACGTGCTGGCAGTCGTCAGGCAACTGAGGCCACTCAGGCCACACGTGCTACATACGAATGAAGAGCGTCGTGTGCTCTGGAGTGATTGCAGTGCTAACCGCAGCCTTCATTGCCCTGATAAGGAGCACAAGTGCCTCCTGTAATTATGAAATGTAAGTTTCCCCGGGCGGCTGCGAGCTGTCGGTTGCTTCGCTGCCTGCGAATACGGCCTCGCCCGCAAACCACCTCGCTTATCGATATGCAGATGGATTGTCGACCAAGCCGACTCCAACAATGGAACGGCACTTGTTGGCTATGGGGGGTGAGCTCCGCCGGTAACAAGAATCAGCACTTTCGACACCACGCAGCGTCGCTCCTGCCACGCAGCGAAAACATCATCTAAACAGGTTTAATCCACCACCTTGCTTCGCAGATACATCTACATTTTCCAAAGCCGTGACCTGAAAAAAGCCCATGAAATTATTGACCTCGGCGGTGAAGTGTCTCGGCTCTGCTTCCAGCAAACAGGTATGTTTTCATGAACGGAAGTAGCTGAAAAGAATGAAAAGATACAATTCGCTGAACGGGGGATAAACGTTGTGATATGCGGGGACACCTCCTTCCTGCCCGTTTGCTCGGCCTCCAGACCCATCCAATGCTTATACTTCGCCATGTGAATTCCTGGTTGCTTGCCGTCTGACGGGTACACGTCTGGCTGAACATCTAGACGCGTATCCTTCAAACCATCAATCATCAATCGATCCTTGAACTCCGATACCACTTACCGGCAATGGGCCATTCATTAGTAACTGGTTATGTATTATGGACGACAATACAAGAATGAGTACAATAAAGAGGAGCGGGTTGTCTGAGCATTATTTTAGTTTACTGATGATCACCAACATTCCAGCCTCAGAGATGAAAGCATAAAAAATTAGAAATTTACGTAAGATTACTGCTCACAACCGGGTCCGCATTGGAGGACAACGTTCGGTGCAGCGACCAGGGGTGATCTGGGAGATTAAGCCATTGCCAGTAAGTGTGGTATTGGAGTTCAAGGATCGCGTGATGGCTAATGAAGCACCCCTCCGTTCCCTCTTTCTGCAACTGCTGCATGTGAATGCAGGCTCGTACCCCGTCCGGCCGCACATGTTGCTGTTCAACCTAGCCCACTCGCATGCCGTACTGGCGTTTGTGGCTTCGGGCCATGTCGTGATTTTCCGCTCTGCGGACCGTCAGCCGTTGGCCTGCTTCCGCACCACACCAGGCTTCAATGGCCTGCGCCAGGCGCACGCTGGGTTCACAATGGGGTAAGCGTCAGCAGCTCCGCCCATGGCACGTGGGAAACTAGGATGACACAGCATCTTACTTCTGTAAATGCGGGACACGGAAGTTCATGTTTCCGTTGCGGACAGAAATGTGATTTGAGGTATGATATTTCCCATTTATGACTTGCGTACGAGCTATGACTTGCGTATAACTCCCTTTCTTCAGAGACGACAAGTACATCGTTGTGGCGAATCAGAACGGCAAGAAGGTCGAGCGGATAAACGTCGATTGGGAGGTACATGGGGAGGGGGGGCATCAATTACTGCCAGCGCCATCAAGACCAGCGTTAAATCCTTCAAACAAATAATGCATCGTCTGTAAATCTTTTTATTGTCTATAGGTAGTGCCCTAGTAGTAGACTGGAATGGTCCCTCTTCATTAATACCAAGGCACAACCCTGTTAAGTGGTGAAGCCTTAACAGGTTGTGAATGTGCATGTGTAAATCTTTCTCCCTCGCTCTTGCCCTACCGATCCGTCCTCTCATTGGCATGCAGAACGAAGTATTCGAGCATGACATGAACGCGACATTTACAATGTACGGCAACTGCACGACACCCAACAACGCACCCTGTGAAGACCCAGGTATGCACGTGCACCACGTATTCCACCAGCAGCGATGGTGCCTTATAGCTCAGATCTTTCCACAAGCCTCCCGCATGCCACCTACATGCCAGACTGCTTTCCTTTTCCGTGTGTATAATCCCAAGATGCTTGTGACACGTTGTTCGCGCTAGCGTTGCAAAGACCGCGTGGCATGCCCGTGTGTGCATTGGTTGTTATATCACGGCAATTGCATCCGCCGATCGGTACTCTTTCTGTAGCATCTGTAGTCGTGACACAGCAGCATTGTACGGCGGGCCATTGACCATCCACTCGACTTCTTCAAATCATGTCGCCTGCCGCCGCTGTCCCGCCCGCCCTCCGCACAGTTCTCCGCCCGGATAATGCGCCGATCTGCACCCCGCCGGGCAACCCACCGCTGGCCTTCATAACACTGCGCGGGGGCGGAATGTTTGTGCTCGACTACACAAAGACGCCGATGCAAGTCGTAGCGGAGTACGACAAAAATCACATTGGAGCCAACGGATGCGGCGGCGTCGCAGCGGGCAATTACATGTACGACATGAGAAGCTAGACTAGATACCAATAATACGTGCGGATGGGGGCATGCGGGTTGGGCACTTGTTGACTTCTGTTATGACTGTCCGTGTGTCGCCCGTGTACATACGGACATGGAAACAAAACGGACACGTGAACCTTATGAACGTCTCCTGGCTCCTGGTGCCGCAGTACAGTCACCTTCGTCCCTGCCGTACATACTCCCTGCCGGTGTAGGTACATCAACTCTGGAGGGGGCACCCCAAATAACCTGTACGAGTTCAAGGTACGGCAGATTGATTGCATCATGCAAATCGGAAATGCCGTAAATTACCTGGCGGAGAGGCATGCGATGTGCAATAAATTATTTCCTGTTGTGGGTGGCGTGCAGGTATACAAACTGCCCCAAACCGGCTACGCGGCAGGCAACCCGCCCAACACGCCCGTTCCCAAAGTGGTGGCTGACGACAGTACAGGTGAACGGGACGCGCACTACGCGGGCGTCACCTACAATCAAAAAATGTGAGTACGAGTCTTTCATCCACCCAGCCATCGATGTATACATGGCGAGATCCGAGAACCTGGGTGTCGATCTAGGTGGGCGAGCTAGTACAGATTCGTGTGCAGGTCGCGCCCGAGATCCATGCATTCATTCAGGGTTTTAAATCCGCAATGGTGAAAAAATTCTATGCTACCAATCGACCTACGGGCCTGCAGTTTTCTTATGGTGACCCAAAGGATTATTCTACATACCTGCCGTACCGTGTGTCCTGTTTGCCGTACGTTCTCACTGCTTGCCGTACGTTGTTGCATCTGAGGGACTGAAGTGCTGTGATAGGGAGACGTATATCTTCCCATGAATGTTACATACAAGTGCAAAATACACGGACATGGGCAATCCTACAGAGCGGGGTCCCCCTGGGCGCTTCACGCTGGGGCCCCGCCCAAAACATACACTGGCGCCCTGGCTCAGCAAATCTTTTGGAATGCATGCTGGATGCGTGCTGTGTTACGTGCGCAGAAAGGCCAGCTATTTCTGGCAGCCGGACAGGGCTCAAAGCGTCATCGACGTATTTTCTTTCAAGTCTGACAAGTTCGTGAACCGGATCGATCTCAAGGCCACAAACCTTTCAACCGACCCCACACCGGATGCACTGGCCATCTCGCCGCTAATGGTGAGAGGAAAGAACTAGCTGGGTGCCATTATACACTCTTGATGGCTTCGAACTTGCGCTGTTTATCATCGTACCGCCGCCAAGGCTGCTGGTGCACCTGGTGCATGAACCTGTCAGACCACACTCCACAGCTGGTGGCTTCGGACTCGCCGTTCCAATCCAGCCATGCACACATACCGTGCACAGAGAGCCAAGGACAAGTTTCTTCTCCCCAGGAATGCAGGCATCGTCTGGTGTGGCACATACCAGCCATAGATGCACACGGTAAAGTTCATCCCCAGCATCTCGAGAAGCCCTTTCAGCGGCTAGACAGGTACTACAGAATGCTTAACTGCTAGGGTGCACTTCGACGTGGCATACAATTGCTTCTGCTCTATTTATGCCAGACAACCGTCCATGAGCCAGCCGGTAACCAATTTGCGGATTGCAGCCTAACTCAGTTTGTGTCCGTCAGCCGTAACTCCCTATCATCCTTAAACCCATCCCCCTTAAGTTCCCGTGATCGACGACCGTGCCTATTCATGTATGCGCACATAAGTATGGCCCCGTGCACTGGTGCAAATTTCTCCCACTGGATTGAAACCAGAATGCAGACGGCAGCCAATACGGAGCAGTCTGCGGTCATTTCAGCTTGCAAACGTGTGTATGTATGTATGTAGAGTCAGTCCCTCCTGTAGCACATACAGCCATCTGCCACGCGGGCCTCACCGCTACCTGATCATCAAGCATGCACACATACAGACACACATGCCAATTAATTTGATCACGCGTGCACACATGTTAGCACGTACGTATTGCAACTGCCCACACCCCCACGCAGGACTATGCCTTCGTGAGCCTCCGCGGGCTGTACCCAATGTCCGCGGACCCGCACGTCAGCACGGTACGTTGGTCACAACGGTTTGCGTGTGCAGCCGCCCTGTGTGGGGCCTTTTGTTTCCACCAGGGAAAGGTTTTCGCATCTGGTGACAGGAAGCGTGTGCGTATGCTTTTGCAAGTGTGCTACTGCTTTATTATTGTGCCTCTGCCGTCTGTTGGGAGAAAGCGATGTTAAACACGTGATTTGCATGTCCGTATCCGCGCAGGGGAGCTCTCCAGGCCTGGGGATTCTCCGGGTCATCCATTCTGGTCGGAGTGCGCAGCTGAAGGCTATCGTCCCCATCGAGAACCTGGTCAATGGCACGAACCGTGCTGACCCGCACGCGCTGGGCTTGTACGTGACTAGAGCCAACTGTCCAGAGGCATATGGCTTCCGGCGGCAGCTGCGCGGTCGCAGCTGATTGATTAAATTAGCAGCAGTGCAGTTCTGTTTTCTACGCGGAAAAGCGCTTATAAAAGGGACCCTTGATCGAGTCCCAGCGGCTGCAATAGTCTGTTAAATGTTTGGTCACCTACAGATCGCACCCTGGTATAACCATAAATATAACGATAAATAATTTCTCAGACGGTAAAAACAAAGCTCCTGGACGCATATGGACATTTTGCTAACACCAAAGTTTATCCATCTATCCACGAATGCATGTGGTTAGGACGTTGTAGGATGTCATCATGCTTGCTGCACAATCCCTTAGCTGCACGCCTGCACTTAGACGATAGTAGATAGGTTGCTATTTCTGCTCGTTTTAAAGTTCTGGGATTGTGGACGGATCTGTTGGATGCGGGCGTATGTGTATATGTTGTCGTGCTTTTGCTATATATGATCTCACGCAAAGGGATGGAGCAACTGCTCATGCTCTTGCTCCCGTGATTAATATCTCACCTCACTCGCAAGATATTGGAGCAGCGAGTGACGCTCATCATTAATATAAGGTATTTGATCGCCAGGAGCATCGCCAATTAAACGGTCGACTTGGTATTTTCTGTTCAGGGCTATTCGAAGTCTTGTGGATCCTCTATTTCTTCGTGATTTTGTACGGATTGATGCTGAAGCGTGCTTTCTAATAATGAGACGCTGAAGCAATTCACGGATTTGGAGAGGTGTTCGTATCGAGATATCAAGCAGTTTAGGCACCTCATGTCCGCAACACAGTTCATCATATACAAGGCAGTTCGTCATAAAAAGTGGCTCTGTATTCCAAAACTTTTCTTTATGAAGTAGATATGAAATAGTCCGTGCCATTCCCATCCATTTTGCAATCTGTACACGCCTTCCGTGGGATATATCACGTCACGCAGCAGCAGCGAAATTTCAGTGTTGACAATTGGCCCCCGCCCGCCGCCGGTGGCCCAATAGGACCCATGTACGTACAGCGGGCAACACGCATACCGGCAGTGGTAGCTGTCCAGGTGCCGGAGATAGATAGATAGATAAATAAATAGAGAGGGAGAGAGAACGAGAGATGCTGGGAACGCGCCTCCGCCCGTACATGTATTGGTTTGGTGTGCGCCGTACAGTACAACAATCACTACACCAACGCATTAACATACGTCACGCAGGAGAAAAACGTATCCCTGTTAATCACTGTACAATTTTCCACGCAGTCCATTGCACGACCGTTAACGAGCAATAGCCGCCGCTCACACGCTCTACTAGTTTCATGAAGGTGATACCCATGTTCCCGCACTGTACGGCACGTACGTACAGCATGCACATTTGCTGTACTGCAACCCTGCCGTAACAAAGCAACAAAGTTCATAACAACATTGCAATCACGCCCCTACGGGAAGGTACGGCCTGCTAACTTTACGGCGGCACACAACATGTCACCTTCCAAACCCGCGAGCGACAATCGATGGGGCGATGACTTCGGTGCATGAGGCCAACCGGGATGAAAAACCAGCACCTGGCCGGCCCAGCTCTGGTTCTCTGCAGGAAGAACAAGCCAATGATTGCCCCAATCTGCAAAAGCACAACGCAACGCAACAGACAGCTTTGCTTGTGAAATCCGATCCCCTTTCCGATGCTGGGACCACCTACTACTACGTCCTGCTGCCGCATGTAAGCCTCACTGGCCTACAAGACAGTCTGACCAGGTGCCCTAGCGGCTTCAACAAGCTTTCGCAGCGCCGCAGTCCCTCCGGACGCCAGCTCAGAGGCCTCACCTCTCATTGTCCCGCATACCATACATCTTACACACACATCACGGGCCCCTCCACAGGGGTACATACATACCGACAGCTGTGCGGTGACAGTGTGGGCGCTGCGTGATGCCATAAACCCAAGGAAACACGCACATGTACAATAACCTCCTTCCGCTGTGTACAGGTCAGCCCTGGTCAACACATCTAATAAGATGAGCTCGCTCCGAAACCCTCAGCCATGTCCATCTCATTCCGGCCAACAAGCAAGTCACAAAAAATCACGCATTTCGACATTCCGACGTGCGCCAGCGCTTTAAAAAACTGGCTCCTGCTGGAGGGCATCAACTCACGAGGTCTCGTTTCACCCGCACATTATCATCTGGCTGCTGCTTCTGCTTCTGCGGCGGCAGCGGCGGTGGCAAGGCCTTGCGCCAGCCGCTGCTTTTGCTGTTCCTCCCTCAGCCAGGTCAGCAGCTCTCTTCGGTACTCCCCATCCCGACCTGTCGTCGCAGCCGCCTGCGCCGCTTCATACCAGTCCACGGGACAACCCAGCTCCAACATCAGATGCATCATGGGGACCGGCAGGCTGTTGCGAATGCAGTCCACCAGGGTTTGCGCGCTCCAGGGACAGCCCAGCCGGTGTAAACAGCGGATGATGGCCGGATCGCACCGCTTGGCCGCAAACACGTAGGGCTTGCCATTCGTCTGCGAGTCATAAAGCAAAGACCAGCAGCCGCGGGCAATGCGCGAGTTGTTACGGATGCAAGGAATAAGTTTGTTGAGTTGGCGGTCGTGCTCCTGGGAAACGAGAAGCATGAACGAAAGAAACGTATGTCGTACACCAGCAATGCATTATCAAAAGTTATTTCGACTGTGTTGCTGCAGGTTTTATTAATTTAACAAAATTGACATCCTCTGTTGAACGCGCAAGGTCCCCTGTGCACCTAAGCACCGATATCTGGATTCGATCTGGATCGGACGGCCAAGCCAGGGTCCGTTGCTTGCTTTATTCGTTCATGCAAGGATAAAAAAAACAACGACAAGTCCCCGAGGGAAGAACGACCATTTGCGCACCACCGTTTCTGCGGTTATCGGGTTCAAACCCAACCTACCCTAAATCCAATCCAAATCCTGAGCCCCTCGTATTACATTACAAGCTCACCGGGAAAGGGCAGCCCTGGTCCGCCAGCCACTCCAGCGCCGCCTCAGAGCCAAACAGTGCGGTGCCAGACACCGCCACATGACCCCAGCCGCAGCCCCGCTGGCGAAGCCAAGACATCATCTCCAAGCTGCCTCCCAGCGCTGCCAGGTCAAACAACTCGCCGCCGACACCCGCCAAGCCCACGCCCAGCGCGTCCGCTGCCCATAGCACCAGCGGCACATGGCCGTCGAGGGCACCCACGCCGACCAAACCGCGAATGCCGCGGTGACCTTGGCCCACCTCCCATCCGCAGGCGGTGTGGAGATACTCAAGTACAGCGGTGTGCCTGCCCAGGGCCGCCGAGGCGACCAGGTAGCCTGGGGATCGCGAACCCGGTCCACCTCGCTGAGTGATATATCGCAGGGCCGATAAATTCCCGCATGCGGCGGCCTCGGCCGCCGCTCTTTCGCTCAATGGATAGCCGCGGTCGTGCAGCCACTTCAGCCTGCTGGTTGCATCGCCGTCATCGTTAAGCCGGCCGGCAACCGCCACGCAGGGCTCAACAGGCCTATGATGTAGATCAAAAAGTTTCTCCAGCCATTCCACCTTGGCATGCCAGTCGGGCGTGGGGCTGCAGGCTGCGGCAGCGATGATGCGGGCACCTGTGTGTTCGTCCCAATAGAGCATCGAGCCGAAGGGCACCTGCATTATCGGACCGTGACGGCGCTGGAGAACTGCGAGGCTGAACCCCTCCGCTGCCGCTTCCGCGAGTTTGACCAGGTCAACTTTGAGGCACAAGTCCACTTCGCCTCGTTGTTCCAAGAGCCAGGCACTCATGTCTTCGTGGCCGCCACGCTCCGCTGCATACACCGCTGCAGCGTCGCAGGGGCATCCGCTCGCCAGCATCCACTGGCACACGCGCAGGTGACCGGCCTTGGAGGCCTTGGAAAGCGCGTTGCCCCATCCGCAGCCGTGCGCCCTCAGCCATTGGCACATCTCCAGCTGGCCGGCGGCCGCGGCAGTGCCCAGAAGAGCGCCGGCAGCTAGTGGGGAAAAGGTACCGGCGCTGCTCATGAGAACCACTTCCATGTTTTCAATGCTGCCGCTTGCGGCCGTGAGGCATTGAAGTCGCACTTGGGAGATGTGATCGAGCTCGCGGAAAGCTGCCGGGACGCCCCAGCGGTGAGAAAATGCGTGGCGCGGTGACGGGCGCGACAGCTGAAGTGTTTTGAATTCGACAAGTTGCTTCGCGGTATCTTTATTTACGAGGCGAAGAGTACCAGCAACTTCGTTGGGTGGCAGGAAGGTCGCGATGCTCTGAATGATGCCCGGTATCCAGACTCGCGATGGGTCGTTCAGTTGGCGCAGACTTGCAGGAGGCATTCCAAAATAGAAACACATTTGGTCAAGATATAAAATAGGTAAATGTCGTGCTGGAAATTATCACACAACGCAGGTGGCAAGTTGCAATATGTCGATTACTGGAGTTACCCTAAAATTTGGCCTTTAGACCAGTTTCGCATAGGATATGCATAAGTTTTCCACGTAAAGCTGTGATATTAGAACATAACGAAAAGCGTTTTGAATGCACTAGACATTTGGACTTTAATACTTGAACTCGCCGCCACAACGGTTCCGTTTTCGGTTCTGCACGTTGCGGTTTTGCCGTAGCATCAATATATAGCAACAGGGACGAGAGGTAGCGACCGATCGGCAAATCGGTTTCTACGGCTGCGTTAGGTCATAATTTCGGTCAATAAACCTAAAAAACAGTTTTGGGCGCCTTTCGGCGCCAAATAAAGGCAGCATTTTAGGGCTGCACGTTCCGTACACATTGCAGTCCGATCGTTTTACAGGGGAGGTACAAGAGGCCTTAAGACAAATTTCGGCTACGGGTACTGTGGTACGGAACCTCAGGAATAAGGACCCGCCTTATTTGCCGACCTCTGACGGGGACACAGGGCGAGCGATGATACTAGTAGCAACCTCGTAGGAACTACTTATCGTAAACCTTTAAGCACATCCACCAGCATACCGTAAAGGAAAAGGAGCCGAGGCCGGAAATCCGTCGTTGCAAGCCCCCTAAGAACAAACTGCAAAACAAAGTACTACATTTAAACCCTAAAACGTAGTCAAATCATAACCCTGCAAAGGTTGGCATCAGAACTACAACTTTTACGCTGACATAATTTCCGAACACAGGGTGCCTCTTCCTTATCGTTCATGAAGGGGCGTGCTCCCTTACGATGCTATCGTTTGATACCACCATACCAGTCCCACCAGCCTTGCAGCATGTTGACATAAGTGAACATCGTTAGCGATCCTGTGTAAGTCTTTACACAAGCGCGCCCACTGGTCTCCACCTGGTAAGGTGCAGCGCTTCACTGTTAACGAAGGCCTGAAGTGATAAAGCTACTCCAATCCAAGCTCAGCCAGCCGGCCCCTTTTCATAACCCCGCTGGGTTCAAGGCGCCATACACCGAGGCGGGCAAGAAGCGTTTCTGTTGGAAAAGCGACTGGCACTCATATACCAGAGAATGGTGACATTAGTAATAGGACCTGTGGGGTTCCGGCGCTTTGCTGATTCTAACAGTTTCGCGCCACGACAACGCTATATGAGGTGAGGCGCGCTACTGCACAGCGGGGCCCGCCCCATCCGCATGTAACCCCACTCCGCCTACACCACGCGTGGGTGGATGGATGGATGGACGGTCGCATTAATTTCACGTCTAACATCTTCCCCCCTTCCGGGAATCACTGAGCCCAAATGCAGCTCCAGTCGAATCATGCAGAAGAAGTTGTCAACCGACCAAGCCCAGCTCTGTGTAATGCGAAAAACGCACATCGCGCGCCTGCTGCACATGCAGCAAACCAACTCCACTCTCATCGCGCTAAGATCTCACCCAACGCCAGGCCATACATCACAGGGAAAGTTGCTTTACATTGGTATGCACCCTGAAATGAATTTAGGCGTTCCAAGAGAGTTCGCGTGTGCGGGCTTAATGATGGATGGAGGGCATGCGGGGCCGTAAGGATGGAACAAGAGCACACACCACGTTCGTACATACATACAGGCAGACAGACAGACAGATAGACAGACAGATGTGTCTCATTTACCGAGAGAGTTGGGCTTTGGGACCGTTTCGACACATCTGCCACCAAGCAGCCAGCTAGCCAGACAGACAGGTTAGCACAGCAGCCAAACAATAACTGAAAACTGAGTGCACAACCGACTGCGCCAACTCCCAACGGTCCAAGCAAACCCGGACATGAGGCCCTTCGTCTCAAGGGCGTCTCACTTACATTCTGCATTCATGCATGCAGCCGTGCATTCACTCATGCAAGCAATAATTCACACAGATATGGACGTCTATACATGTATGTTGTTACAGGGTTCAGAATGTATTCGCTGGGTTCAGCAACTCACCACCAGCATCCAACCAAGTCTAGCGAATCAACGGCGCCTCAACTTAGTTCCTGGTCAGCTCGCAAGTTGATATAAGCACGCTCTACACCGTCCACAAGATGGGGGGCCACCTCCCAATTCAACACCCCTCACACAATCAAGGGGTCGGCAGGCGAATTTGAACCCGGACCCTCCGGGAGCAGAAGTCAGGCCTTAACCTCTGCCAGCCACCTGCTATACATGTACACCTGACCCACATGTCCCGAAGTGTCCGCTCCGAAACACATCTTAAGGGCCTAGCAACCATTACCACACGTCCAGGATGCTCAAATTCTTCAGTGTTCAAGTTTATCGTACATGCATTGCACCCACCTTTCAACAGCCGGCCAGGCACGGGTAGCGGGTAGCGGCCCCTGCAGAGCGGGCGTCGGCTGCATTGCCTGATCAGGGAATGCGATGACTTCCTATACGTGCCTACAACACGAAACAACACCAGGGCGTTCACAGGCCACACGATTTGCAGGTCCGCATGGACCCCTAGACCACGGCTATCCTCCTACTCCCCTTCCCTTCCCCCTGCCTTCCTTCTCCTCCTCCTCCTCCTCCTCCCCGTCCTGCTCCCCAACCGACTGAAGGTGGCTCCGAGTCGAAGTAAAAGGCCCCATGGGGCTCTGAGGAAATGCGGGTACCTCAGGGGGGAGGGATGCCAGGGGATTCGTGCGTGCCAACACGGGACTGCCGCCGGTGGAGGTAGAGGTAGACTGCTGCTGCCTCACCTGCTGCTGCTGCTGCAGGTGGCAGGGTGGCAGGGTGGCAAAGGGGGGGGAAGGCAGTAATGAAACCGCGGCGTCAAGCGACCAGCGAACAACAGTGAACTCAAGTCAGCGCCCCGAGAGGCTCACCATCACCATCACCATCACCAACAGCATTACCAGGAAAATAAAGAAGGAAGTGAAGAAGAAGAAAGAAGGAACAGAAGCGGGGCGACAAAGGGCGGCGCTCTCACCTCGTTCGCTGTGCATGCCGCATTCGCCGACGCCGATGTCGCAAGCAGGGCGCCCATCACCTTGGCCGCCATCCCCGATGACAACGACGATGGACTGCACCTATGCCAAGTGAGGACGCCGATTGCCAAGGCCATGAGCGCCACACCGACCACGATGCCCGCCACCATAGCCAGTAAGGCGCCGCCGCCGCCGCCGCCGCCGCCACTGACTCCGCCACCCGGACCCGCTTGGGCACCTTCGTCTGGATCCTGTGCTGGCGACGGCGGCGCTACGTTCGTGCTGGGCTGCTGCTGCGGTAGAGAATACTGCGCGGGTATCAGCGGCGGCCGTGAAGACACGGGTGCACCCCGGGGCGGCGGGTAGGGCCGCGACCTAGGAGGCCGCATCTCGGCGGGGATGATGGGGGCCCGCGGCGAGGGGGGTGATGCTGTCGGGTGGTGCTCGGGGGGCGTGGGCGGGTCGGGGTCGGGGCGCGGTTGCAGCTGAAAGAAGTCCGGGTACAAGCCACCCGGGTTCCACGTGTCTGGGTTTGGGACACGAGAAGGCGGGAGAGGCGGGAAGAGGGAGGGAGAGGGAGGGAGAGGGAGGGAGAGGGAGGGAGAGGGAGGGAGAGGGAGGGAGAGGCGGGAAGAGGGAGGGAGAGGGAGAGGGAGAGGGAGAGGGAGAGGGAGAGGGAGAGGGAGAGGGAGAGGGAGAGGGAGAGGGAGAGGGAGAGGGAGAGGGAGAGGGAGAGGGAGGAAAAGGGTAAAATTGGGGCAAGAAGAAGGTCAGGGTTACGTGGGGTAGGGTGGGACAGGGTGGGGGGAAAACAGAGAGAGTGAACACGCGAACGCGTGTCTTTAGCCTACTCCGGGTTTACTCCCTGAGGCACTTGTGTCTGATCATCAACACCTGGCTGCGCGATGGCGCTTCCGAAGGGGACTTAAAGACTGCATTTGTTGCAAACAACATGAAACTAGAGTAAGTATGAGACTCATTCGCTACATGGTGATAGACGCGATGCAGATCAGGTAAAGCCACCGCGACGAGGCGGCGGAGTAGCGGATAAGACATGTACAGAGGAACATCAGACGAGAAGGCATGCGGCCAACTTGCCAAAATGCGGAGGCGCATAAGCAGGACCCAACCCACCGCAACCCGTACGAGTCCTCACCACCCAACCACTCATCCACCTACCCACCCACCTACGAGATCAGGCGATGTGATGCGCACGTTCTCCCCCCACAGCCCCCGGTACCCCACCACCCTCCGGAGCACCAGGACGTTCTCCTCCGCGAAGTACTGCGTGTGTGTGTGCGGTGAGGGGAGGACAAGAACCGGCAGCAGCAACGCCAGACACAGAAACGCAACATCAGCAGCAGCAGTAGAAATAGCAGCAGCAATAGCAGCAGCAATAGCAGCAGCAATAGCAGCAGCAATAGCAGCAGCAATAGCAGCAGCAATAGCAACAGCAATAGCAGCAGCAATAGCAGCAGCAATAGCAGCAGCTGTAGCAATAGCAGCAGTAGCAGTAGCAGCAACACGAGGATTTACGTGTAGCATTACTAGGGGGCTCCCTAACACCCGGGGGGAACACATTGCTCTGCTCACGAAGGTCAATATTTACTATTCAGGTAGGACAATGCTGCCCATAATAGCTCAACTCCGCCCCGCAGAGCAACAGCCCACCATATAGCCCGGCACAGCATCCACACATCAGACCACCACGCCATAATACAAATCCTCTAGCTGCTGCTCACCGTTATTTCATGGTTAGCAATAAACCGCCCTAAAAATTAACCTCCGCCCGCATGCCCGCCTGCTGGGGAGCTCACCGACCCACCGACCCACCGACCCACCTGCGAGCACAGCAGCACTTCCGCCAAGCCCCCGGTAGACCCGGTGCCCAAGTAATCCGGCATCTGGCGATTCTCCACGTCATGCGCCGCCACGATCGCATCCACATCCGCGCCCAGGGCTCCTCCTGTCGCAGCGGCGATGTCAGCGCTCGTTTTGCTTCCTCCGCTTCCACCTGCGTCGATGTCGACATCGCCGCCGCCGGCGGTCACTGGCCTCAGGTCTCGCGCTAGCGCCATGAGAACCTTGAACTCCTGGGAGGGCACCAGAAGGAGGACGTCGCGCAGGAAGAGACGGGGACGTGTGCCCGGGCTCCTGTACGGTGGCGGCGGCAGCGGCACACGGGCGACGGAAAGGGCGGGGCGGGGCGGGGAGGTGAGGGAAAGGCAAACTTGTTCGTTATCTGGCTTGCCATGGCTGCAGTTCTCAACCGGTTTTTGTCATCGGGAAGCCACCGCACGATGTCCCAAAGCTCGCGGGCAACGTAAGTCCTAATCTGATACCACTTGGAGCAGATAACAGCTGCCATGCAGTACCAGAAAACTTTTTGATCTGCCTGCCGTACAGCTCATCCCAGTCGTTAGTACGTACCTGTCGAAACCGAACGCCAGCAGCCCGACTGAGGGCAACCAGGCACCACCATCAGCCGCCGCCGTCGACTGGTCGCTTTCGTCCATGAACTCGCGAGTAGCGTTGGCAACCCCAGTGTCTCTTGGAGAAGGCCCGCCGACCAGCACTGTATTCCAATCACTTCCATCATCGCCACTCGGGCCGGTGTCTTCCAGACCGCCGACGGCTGCGGCGGCCGCGTCTTCGCCGTCAGCGGCCGTCAGGTCGTCACCCATAGAGACGTATTCGGTGTCCTGGAGAGGGCCGTGTGAACCGGCGGATGACACCGCCGCTTCCGCCGCCGCCGCCGCCACTTTGCGCCGTACCGTCCTCTGCATTCCGTGCATTCCCAGCGTACCGGCCTCGATACCGGGATACGACGGCGGCACCGGTGCCGTACCGCTTCCGCCACCGCTGCGGTTTCACGCAGGCGGCGGCTGGCCTTTTCCTTTCGACGGGCTCTCAGAGCCACCCAACCCGCCGCTGCCGCCGCCGCTGTCGCCACCGTACACGCCGGCGCTACTGCCATAGCTAACGCCGCCGGCGGCGGCCAGCGACGCCGCGCTACGGCCTGGTGCCAAATTGGTTACTACCAGACGCCTGAGCGCGACACAGGGACCGCCGCCACCGGCGCCGCCGCCGCCGCCGCCATCCCCCAGGCTGATTGCTCCCGTCAGCTCCCCCAGATCCAGCTCTGTGGGGGTCCACGGGTGACCCAGCAACGTGACGTTGGCGGCGACACGTGCCGCGGCGCCGCCGGCTGTGGGGCCCAGCATTCGCGCCTTGAGTTGGATGATCACCGGGACGGAGCTACCGCCGTTGCCGCTAGTGCCCGTGCTGCTAGTGCTACTGCCGCTAGTGCCCGTGCTGCTAGTGCTACTGCTGCTAGTGCTACTGCTACTGCTGCTGATGGTGATAATGCCGGGGTATGTTGCGGGTACGGCATAGGCAGGCGCCGCGTAAGTCACGGAGTGCACCGCGGCCGGCGGTGGCGCCGACGGCGGCGCTAGCGGTGGCGGATGTGTCCCGAAGGCCGTTGACCAGCTTGTGGGGTCGATGTCGCCCTGCAGAGAGTAAGTGTGGCAAGGAGGAGGGGGAGGAAGGGTGGGGGGTTCATCAGGAGGCGGATATTTCCCTCCAACCCTCCGCCCTTACCACCCCCATCTCCACGACTCACATACGCAGGTTACGCCGGAGGGAAGCCCCATGTCCCGTGTGGGAGAGGAGTGGGGGTGCGGCCCCAGGCTCCAAGGGGCCAGCACGAAACACGCGGGACGAACACGCGGTATCAACACCACTGCGCGCGCAATGTGGCGGCGTCGTTGTGGCAGATCCGCGGCCCTATGGCCGTAATGCATGTACCGCAGTGTGGGTATGTACGGCAATGCATGCGTGCGGTGCAGAACCCCACCACCCGAACCTTCACACCTCTCTAGTCGTACCTGTACGACCCTGACCCCGCTCAACGGCACGGCCCATCCGCCGGGGCCCAGCTCCCCGGGGGCCGCCGATGGCGGCGGCGGCAACTGACCGCCCGTGGACAGGTCATTGGTCGCGGCCGTCAGCACAGCCTCCGGCGGAGCAGCAAGCCGCATCAGCCAGCTTTCAATTAGCCGCGGCGCTGGTGCTGCAGCCGCTGCGGACGCAGGCGCTAGCGCCCCCTTCTCCTGTAAGCCTCGACGCGCGGCACGTCGTACCAGCGGCTGTAGCGGCGGCGGCGGCGGCGGCAACGACGGCTCCTCCTCCGCCAGGCCAGGTGGCAGCCCCTCCGCTGGTCCGTCACCTTCTGGACTCCCTGGAGTGCCAGGCCGCCCAGCGCCAGAATGACTGGGGGATGGAGGAAAACCCAAAGCAGGGGGATCTCCGCCCTCCTTCGCTCCGCCGTCGCCCGAATTGCTACTGCTGTTGCTGCTGCTGCTGCTGTTGCTGCTGCTGCTGCTGCTGCTGCTGCCGTCCGTTGCGGTGTTGTCTGTCCCCGTCAGTTTGAGCTGTAACATCTGCACTGAGAAGGGCTCCGTGCTGGGGTAGCTCAGCCTCCAGATGTTGAGGGGTGAGCTGTCCCGCGGGTGCTGAATGACTCCTGGACGGGAGGGGGAGGACAGCGCTGGCGGCCCGGGTGGCCCGGGCGGAGGCGACCAGGTGCCTGTGGGGAATAAGTTCTGGGTAAGGGGAAAGGGGCGACCGGCAAGAATACGGGGGAGGGAGAGGCGGAGGGGGAGGGGAAAGGGGAGGGGGAGTACAAACAGCAGGAGTCAAGCCAAGTAAACAAATATTGCCGCATGGAGAAAAAGGGAAGCCGGATGGCCACAAAGGTGGAGAAGGGCGGGGCGAGGATTATGCATGATGTGATGCAAAAACTGCAACCGGAATTCAAAGCCTCGTCTGTATTGGGGGTGGTGGTGCGTGGTGCACATACGCAAGCGGTGCCATAGGAAATAGCAGCGTGTTGATTTCCAACGACGGCACACATTCACGCTAGGGTTACACAATCAGGAACGGGGGAAAACGTGGGGAATGTACGGAAAACACACACGAATACAAACGTGGGATAAGACGGCAAACGCGAATGGTGTAAGAGGGGTGTACGACAAGGAAGGGAAAAAAGCGCCAAGCACTTCGTACTTTCGTTGCGAACGTGCTGTTGAGCCAACCTCCCCATGCAGGATCTTGAAGCTGTGTCAGTGCCGTACGCCAGTACGACATTTCGTCGTCGGTGAGCTGCAGTGAACACCCCTCCAGCGTCACGAGCGGCGCCTTGTTGAACTGCCGCTGGATCGCCGCAGTCGTCCTGAAAAAAAGAATCCGAAATGCGAGGCATTGTTCGTTACTGCGGCCTAGGAAAGGCCGGCACCTGGGGTATCAGCCAATCGGTGGTGGTGCCTGCAGCTGACAGTATTCGCAAGGGCTTCATTAATCCATACACACACACGCACATCCACAAAATGAAGATGGAAATGAGCCGTGCGTGGAGTGTGGCTCCCCCGGTCAAACTCAACTCCACGAGCCCACCTACCCGTGGGGGCCCCCGCCCCCTGAGGGCCCTCATGGATACGGCCCCCTGAGACCCCGCACAGGGGACTTGGTGCCCCTCCCAATACGCCCCATCACCCGCCGACACCACGACCATCACACCCCCACCCTCCGGCAGTCGCTGCGCTGGACACGGGCCGCTGCTTCCCCTGCTTGATCTTTGCTGCTGCTGCTTCTGCTGCATGCAATTTTCCCATCCCCTCTCCTCCCCACCCTGCCTCATTCCGTCCACCCAGGCCACTCTTCGCCACACCCACGGTGGCAACCCCGCGCCTTCCAAGCCCCCCCCCCCCACACACACACACTCTCACCCTCTCACTTCCCGGCTCCCCCCTCTCACCCGTTCACCCCCAGGGACCAGGCCAGTGCAGCCATCAGACCGTGTGGCAGATCGGCAGCTCCCCCTTGAGCCAACCCCGTCAGGTGCAGGTCCACAGCGTGGAGGTACACGTCCCGGACATGGGCGCCGGAGCCAGGGTTGGAGGCGGAATACCCGGAGTCGGAGCCGGCGACAGAGGTGTTGGTCCGGAACACCAGGCGAAAGGGCTGCAGCATGCCGCCCATGTCGAGGGAGGCCGGACCTGAAGGAAAGGGGAGGAAAGGGCTTCATTAGAATGTAAGCCATACCATCCATTGGTGCCGGCGTGTGTAGATTCTTCACAGGCACCGGGGAATTCCGGGAGCCCTCCCCTCCGTCCTCACCGCCCACCCAACCCCCACGCGGTCGTTCACTAACGCACTCACCCAGCAACCTCACGCCGCGACGCACGGTGACGGGCTCCCGGGGCAGCAGCGTCCGCTGCTGTGGCATTGTCGTTGGCCGTGGCGGCGACGGCGACCCGTGGGTCGGTGGCGGCTCGCTGCGCTGCTCCGCCATGGAAATCCTGCCCTGCAGGTACACGCGGAACTCCGCCTGCTGCCAGGGTAGCCCGGGGGGCACCGCCTCCGCCTCCTGGTCCGCGAGCGCCAGGACCTCCCGCAGCTCCCAACCGCTGCGGGCCACCGCGGCGCAGCTCAAGGGGTAGGCGGGGCCCGTGTAGATCGGGGCGGACGACGACGAGGAGGAGGAAGAGGGGAGGGAGGTCATGGGCGTGCGGGGCTGTGGATCAAAGGAGGTGGCGAGGCGCGGAGGCAGGGGTGGCGGTGGAGGTGGCGGTGGAGGTGGCGGTGGAGGTGGCGGCAGCGGCGGTGCAGAGGCCAGGAGGGCGGCAGCAGAGGCGCCTGCACAGGATAGGAAGACGTCGGTGGCGGTGTGGACGCCGAAGGTGATGTTGCGTAGGTGCGTGACGCCTGGCAGGACCTGCGGTGCATGGGGCAGGGGCCATGTAGCGCGTCCCCGCCAGGCCGGGGTGATGTTTACATCACCGCCCCAGCAGCCACCCATCTACCCAGACCTGAACTCACCACCCACCTGGGCCTCTCCGGGTCGCCGCTCAGCGCAGATCCTACCACGCAGCTGCTGCAGCAGGTCGCAGTCTGACAGCGCCACGGAGACGTTTACCAGAATAACCCGCGAGGTGCCCGACCCCAGCCCGATGGCGGGCAGGAGGAGCGCAGCGGACAGAAGCTGCTGCAGCGCGGCACTGGGTTTGTTGGAGCCGGGACTGCCGGCTGCCCCGCTGGAGGTGGCGAAGGCGGCGTAGCGCTTGACTGGCGCTGTGTAAGCCAGTGCCAGTCCGCTCATCGTGAGAGCGCCGCCTGGAGGGGATGAGGAGGAGACGGGAGGGGAGGTGTGGGAGCGGGACGTGTCAAGTCTTCAAAGGGAACGGATGGGGGGGAGGGTTGCGGATGGCCCGGGCCGAGTTAGGGCGGCAGACTCGCAGTCTTGCAATGAATAAAATAACAGGATTGAGACCTGGGACGTTGGTGGCTTTGCTGGGATGGGTGGGGAATCTTTTGTCGAGAGGCGATTAGAGGCGATGCGGCAGCAGAGTGGGGGTTCTAGCCTTGTGTTGTGCATGCGTGGGTACATCCGTACAAAAACTGTGCGGTACTGTGACTGTGAAGAATAAATGGAAATGTTCTTGCTCCCTGGTGTGTACCACAAGGCATCATGCGGGGGCACATGTATGTCCTAGCGGCTCGAGCCGCTATTCCGGACTACCGCTACCATCCAGCCCCAGCAATCCCAAAACCCTGTGCGCCAAGTCCTGCAGGTCTGCCTGCCTGGACGCGACCACGGACTGAAAGGTGAGATATGGAGAGGTTGCTGCGGACTTGCCTCCTGGAACCTGGATCCGCGGATTCCGACCCCCAGGGGCAAAATCCAGGCGAGGCCAGGCGGGAGGGCCAGCGTATCCCGCGGGATGCGGCCATCGCAGCTGCGGACTTCCGGAAAGAACAGTGCGTCTGGGCAGCTTAATAGCGTTTCCGTCTGCTCCAAGGAGTACACCAGCGCTGGGGAAAGGGGAAGGATCGGACAGGTCGCTTGTGTTTGATACGGCGTCAAAAAAATACATTGAGAGTGAAATTTTAGGTTTGATGTTTGATGCGGGCGTTGCGGCTCTGGAAGGGAAGGCACTCGGTAGTGAAGTTTAAAAGTCGCTGGCTGTTTGTCCACGTGCAAGCCATATTTCATAGGATATACAGAACATGCGTACCTGGCGTTGCAATGTAGTGCAGTATTTGGGACTGTTTCGGTATTGACGCTGCAATATGTCGACAGAAAGTCGGTTGGCTGCGCGCTGATCCATACTATCATGAGACAACTAAGAGACAATAAAGTTACTAGATGCAAGCAAGCACCCATCCGATCAGACTGCTGACAATTCTCATGCCGCTCGCTCGCTAATGTACGTGTAGAGGCATTGCCTGAGACGACGCAGCCGATTGCCCCATTTAACCAGTACCATAGGACCCTAAGTGCTAATTTTCGGGCAAAAAACACCAAAAAAAGTGGGACGGAGCTTGCGCAGTTGCCCTGTCGGTTAGGGAGGAGATAGATCAACCAACATTAGCCAAGCTAAGGTTTAGCCTGAAGTAAATTAAATTTCAATTATTAAAAAATTAAGATTACTGCTATGTGCAAGGCAAACATTTAGTGCCGTTTTATGTCGGGCTGTTCGGACGGAAAAAATGCAAGTTAGGACTACCTGAGCTACAAAGCCCATTCACAATTACTTCAGAGTTTTCAAATTTTAGCTGTGAAATTTGCTGAATTCAGGAGGTGAGTCTTAATCCGTACAAGAGACTGCACAGCATGCACCGCACCTGGATGGCCCCATGAGTCTTGGTGTAAAGGGCCTAATTTCCGCTTGGCCTTTGGTTCACAAGCTTACAATGTTGACTGATATGCAACGTCAATCATATAATACCAAATGCGATGCGGAACACGCTAAACCTGCGTGTGCTGCTGACATCCTTTTTAGTTCCATTGTAACGCTACTTGAAGATATTCTGCAGTGTGGAAAATCACACAAGAAGAAAGTACGGCTGCTTTGACAGCGATTGCATTGCTTGCAGTCTTACACGTTGAATTGACTCCAATGGTTCCGCCAGGTCGCACGCCTACGGAGATTCTTTTCTCTGGTGGTCCCTCGAAATAATGGCGATGATCTTTTCCAGCTCTTTCGACTGCTTCTTCCCAAGGTAAGCAGGTCCGCTACACACCGTGCTGCCTACCGCGGAGCATCGACCTAAACCACAACCTCCCTGGGCCCTCACCTGCGCTGGGATTCTCTGATGCATCTGCAGCTTGACTATACTCGAGGCTATTTCGGAGTTAAGGTGAGTACCACCCTACCAAGTCCATGGCTATAGTTCTTGGCCCTTGGTGCCGGAAAGGAGCCCGCAGACCCAAATCGCAGAGACAGACCCGCGCAGTAATTTAATATGGTGATCTGATGTTCCATACGTCCCCATATTCAATCTCATATTCGGTCTTCCCTTTCACGCGTGCCGTTGGAATCCAGCCTGCCGTACAACTTCACAAGTTACAAGTTCCGCACGAGTGCGGGGATGTCCGTAAAAGCTGGGGTGGGCATGGACGGTAAATCGTTATTAGTGCGGTTACGTGGTGGACCATCATCGTCCTCCCTCGTCCGCTTGAGCACGCACGCCTTAGAGCAACGTGCCGGGTTTCCCAGACTTCCGAGAGGAACCTGGCTAGCGGTCATCAGGGGCCTCGGTCATCATCGTGCGCATGTCACGCCCTTGAAACGCGAGGTCACGTTCGTATGTAGCCCGTGTACTTGTGTAAGCCGGGCACTCCGCAAAAGCATATCCATTTCATCTTCGACCGCCCCACTTAACGTAACTCAACAGCCGACACCTACCTTACTACTCACCGTACCAGGAGAGGCGGCTTGCCGGCCTCCTCGCTAGCGCGCTGGGCGCCTCCCGCGAACGCGCTAATGCTGCAAAGGACTGGATGGCTCTGGCACACCACATGCATTGGAAGTTCCCCGTCGTCATGCAAAAGGTAGGCAGGCGAAAGCGCTGCCGTTTGCTGGAGAATGAATTGGAAACCGGAATTGGTAAAACCAATCTGGACCTAGGGAAAGGAAAAAGACGCGCTCATACTATCACAGTCGCCTGCGTCTGTAACGCAACTGCAGCAAGCAGAAAACGCGAACGCCCTACTTGTTCGTGTGACCTGACATCCCCCAAAGGATGAAGGCATCCGCTGCCGACAGCCAAGCGCGTGCTCCTTACCCAACCATGCTGACACACCGACCGGACGGCTCTCCCCCCGTTTCCCCCCTCCTGCAGCTGCTGTTCGACCCTTACTGCCCGGCCAGCATCCCCCGGGAAACCGACTCGCTCACCTTGGGCATGGTACGTTAGTTTTGTCGGTTCCGCTGCCAACTTCTCCGTCCTCGCGTATCCCTACTTTCATTCACACAACAACGAAATCAACCGCAAAAATCCCCGCACGCATACAGAACCGCGGTCATCACACATCAAAACCAACTCTAACCAACTCCCGCAGGTCAACGCGGCGTTGGACCAACTGGCATCCATTGCCTCGGGTGAAGAACGCTCCCGCTTAGTGGCACTATCTGTCCATGAGCACCAGGTGGCCACAGCGCAGCAGCAGGCGGCGGTGCTCCGGAACCTGCTGCTGCGCTGCACACCAGCTGGCGCCCGCTGGCTGGTCAGCATACTGCTGCGACAGGACTTGCCGGTAAGTGGCTGGGTGACTGAGGCCATTGCGGCACTTGGCGACTGCGGCTGTGGCTACGTGCACCTCCTCGTTTTGAGGAACCCAGAATGCTGCGAGCATTAACTTGGCTTTCCACCCGCCCTGCCTCTCCTCATTGCTGCGCTATGAACCCCTGCACCCATACACGGCGCATGTCCGTGCCCGGCGTCTTTCCGCAGACCGGCTTAGGCGACAAGACGGTGCTGACTGCTTTCCACGCGGACGCGTATGAGGCATTCACGGCCTGCTCCGATCTGCGGCGGGTGTTGGACGCGCTGCGCCGACCGGAGAGCGCCTGGAGGCGCCGAGTGAGTTTTCTGATGATCACCTAGTGGTCTAGATTTTTGCCCTTCATACTGGTGCTAATGGAATGTTGTACTAACCCCGGGATATGTTTCCACCCTGTAGCTGGACCCCGCAAAATGACCGCGCATGCCGTTGTTGGGTTTTTCTCAAGACCCTGAATCATGTGCTGCCTGCCGGCGCGTACTTCAGAGGAGTATGTAGCAAGTGAAGTATAAATGAACCTAGTGCCACGCTAAATTTGGAAAGTTCATCACATTCTTCCCTTCATCCTGCAAATAACCCTGTTACATACAACACAGATAGGGTACCATTTTCACGTCTGTGATGCTTCCTTCTCTCTCCCTAACCATCAGGAAGTTGAGCCCGGGCTCAACGCGGCTCCGCAGCTGGCGAGCCGGGTCGACGGTGGGCCGGTAGCGGCGGCGGCGTGCATGCAAGGCCGCCCCTTCCTCGTGGAGACGAAGTTTGACGGCTGGCGGATCCAGGTGGGGGCATGGGTGGGTGGATAGGTGGGTGAGGTCGGGAAGGGGTGGGATGCAGGAAATGATGCCGAACATGATCCAGGGACCCTGGTCCTGCCCAGGCAAGTCCCGGGGGATGTTATAGAAACCAGCAGGACGGTGGGGGGGGAATTCTCAGGGTCAGCGGAGACGGCACTCCGGGAGCTCACAACCTACATTGTGTGGGTGTGCACCGAAGCAGAACAAAGGACCAGGCAGAGTTCGTGTAGGGTCTCCAGCCGCCTGGGTTGCTTGGTATTGGGTTAGTGGCTGGTTGGGACTTCACCCTAGACGCAAAAGTGCCGGCATTGGCCGTGTGGGCCTTCTCGAGCTGTATCAAAAGTAAGCTGCCACGACGATCCAGTTTCCTTGCCATTTGTTGTTTGGCAGTCGCGAGCTTTTCTTCCGATCCCAAACCCGTCCTCTCCGAACGCTTCCCAAACGCGTTCTGGCTCCCTCGCTACGGACTTTGGCTGTGTCTGCCCGCTTACCGCTAAATGACAGCTTCACGTAGTGGGGGGATCTCAGGGGAAGAAGCCCAGCAGCAGCAGCAGCAGCCGCTGCGGCGGTGGCGGTGGCGGAGGATGTGACGACGGCGGCAGCGGACACGTCCGCGACCCTGATGTTGGCGGCATCCTTTATTTCAGTCGAAATGTCAAGGATCACGGCGCCCGGTCCAACTTTTGTGTGCTGGACAGCGCGGTGGCGTGCTTTCTGCGAGTCCCGAGTTCAGCACAGGAGCAGGAGGACGAGGGGGAGGAGGAGCAAGGCGCGCCGGGAGCTGTCACTGCTGCGCAGCTGGGGCCTTGTACGGCAGAGGCGCTGTTGCCGCGCGTGGTGCTGGACGGCGAGATGCTGGTCTGGAACAAGACCCGGTGAGCAAAACGCGCTAGGCAACACTAATATCTTCACTGATACTACAGAAAAATCTTGGAGGTTTGGGGGTTTTAGCCAACAAAATGAGGAGAATGGTTCTTTCCTGGCAAACGCGGAACGACTAAAAGACGAAGGATTAACACCATGTGAGGAATTGGACAACCGACCTAAGCGAAAGAAAAGCAGACTTGGAATAGCTCAGTGCCACAACCCATTCAGAGGTGGACAAACCCGATTCCGTCCCGATAATTATCGCCCCCACGCAGTCGGTGCTTCGAGCCCTTCGGCATGCTGGAAGCCACCATCCGAGCAGCGGCAGACGGCGTGCCGCCCAACGCGCCCGTGCAGGGCCGGGTGAGGCCTTGAATGCATGTATATGTATGTTGTTACAGGGTGGTATAGCTTCACCAGCGGCCCCCTTACCCGAGGCGGTTCCCTGCTCTCCCCTGCGAGAGGGCACCCTAAACCATTCACCCCATCCGACTTCAGAATGTATTCGTTGGGATCAGCAACTCATCACCAGCATCCAACCAAATCTAGCGAATCAACGGCGCCCAGCTTAGTTCCTGGTCAGCTCGCAAGTTGATATGATCACGTCCTACACCGTCCTCTAGATGGGGGGCCACCTCCCAATTCAACACCCCTCACACACCCAAGGGGTCGGCAGGCGAATTTGAACCCGGACCCTCCGGGAGCAGAGTCGGGCCTTAACCTCTGCCAGCCGCCTGCCTATAATTGTGTATATATGCATGTATGTATGTGTGTATGTATGTATGTATGTATGTATGTATGTATGTATGTATGTATGTATGTATGTATGTATGTATGTATGTATGTATGTATGTATGTATGTATGTATGTATGTATGTATGTATGTATGTATGTATGTATGTATGTATGTAACATAGAGGCTTGATGGGCACCTTGGGGGTCCCCTGCGGATTGTCTAACGCAAGGGGAGGGAACACCATTCCACGTACAGCAGGATGGGGCCTTATGTGGGGTGAACGAACACGGATCCATGTCTCCGGTTTCCGCCCGCTCTATGTCCTGAGCGGTTGGTTTTGTGTGTGTGTGTGTGTGAAGGGGTTTGGCTTTTGGCCACGGCCACCGTTTTCACTCCATCGTGGCCCGACACGCTCGTGACCATCACGGCAAATTACGCCATCATCAGCCCTATCTTAGCCGCCATCGGTCCCTGCGTCCACGTCGTCCTAGCCTGCTGGCTAGCTTGCCTCCACTTCGTCTGTGTTGGAACTAACCCACGTCGGGGCCGCCTCTTATACTCCTACTCTTACTGCCAGTAGACGGTTTACGGCACGTGTCCCACCGTAGCGTGAATGTCGGGTTAGGCCGGGTGGATTCACCGGTTGAATGGGTTAACCCCAGGGTGGATTTGGAACCTCCGTCCGCTGCGTTCCTCGGGCTTCTCGCCCCCGCTCTCCCTCCTCAGCCGGGCGGCTTTCCCTGCTCCCAGGTTTCCCCCGCCGGCCCCCAGCCACTCCCCCCAGGGCTTCCCCGTCCTGTTGGATATGCACACCGCACAATGTACGGCCAACACCCTGGGCCGCTGCCCCCCGGGGGACCGCTGTCCTGGCTGTCCCTGTGCCGATCTATATACAGGACGTGGCTGCCGGTGCGGCCGGTGCGGCCGGTACTGACGACTCGTATTCACGGTACCCGGCTGCTGGCGAGTTGGAGGTGGTGTACGTCGCCTTTGACATCCTGTACCTGCGGGACACATCTGTCATACACCTGCCGCTGAGGGTAAGGGCACCCTGGTACCCTTAGTTATACCCGTTGCTGCTGGTGGTAATGAGGGCCGTGCAGGGCCCAGCACACCGCAGCTCTTTTAATCACCCTATCATCTCCTTCAGCTGCGCGCCCTGCATTGCTGGGTTGCTTGTCTCCTTCATGCCGTCAACTGTGGTACGCGTTCCCCTCCAGAGCATATTACATAGCTAGGGTTGTGCCGGCATTAGAACATTAGAACTAATATTAGAAAAAATATAATTAGAATGTAATAAGAATTTTAGAAGACCCCGTTTAGAACGTATTAGAACATCCTAATGTCGTACGGACATTAGAACGGCCGGAAAGCCGTAGCTTTAAGGCGCATCAGCGGTTCTACTGCGTGCATTTTACACGAAAATGTCAGATAGAGGTGCGGGGCCATCAAAGCCACCCCTTCCTCCCGGGAAGGCGGAAGCATCAGGGCCAATGTACAAGTATGGCAACAAGGAACTTGATGCAAAAGCGTATGCAGAAGCTCTGACCTCCGCAAAGAAGAAGGGTCTTGCAGCTTATTGGAATAGCCCTTCCTCTCTGTGTTTTTGCATTCCCCTTAGCGAGCAAGCACTCCCCGGCAGTTATGTGGTGATTCTGTGCAAGTAGGGACTTAAAAGGACAGGTTTGGCGGCGTTCTTGGTTGTTTCCGTAGCAAGTCTGGCGTGGGTTTGGCTGGTAGGTACCCTCCCCAGGCACCCGACCGGAGTAAATTTAATTGGAAATGCGTGCGGTTACATCTGTGATGGCCTATACAAAATTTCAGGTTCAACGGACCCCTCCCTGAAAAGTTGTCGAGCGTCTTCTAATATTAGATCCTAATTTCTAATTAGAACTAATATTAGAATTAGATTAGAACGGAAAACATTCTAATGTCAGGAACAACCCTATACATAGCGCATTAGCTTCTTTTCCCTCCCCCCAACCCACCCCAACATCCTTGTAACGTGTATACCTTGTGCCCTGCCGTGCTGTGCCCTGCCGTGCTGTGCCCTGCCTTGCCCTGCTGTGTCGTGCTGTGCCCTGCCGTGTTGTGCTGACGAAGCTCCGCACCGACCATCTGCAGGCCCACGTCCTCACACCTACCCTAACCCTGCCCTGCCGTGTCGCGACCCCTTCCTGCCGCCTAATCTTAAATGTATATATGTATATATAGGAGCGGAAGGAGCTCCTGGCGTCTGTGCTCCGTCCTATTCGAGTGGATACGGGTACTGCTGCTGGTGCTGGTCGTGGTCGTGATGCGGGTGTGGAAGGTGGTTCTGAGAAGCAGCAGTATGGCGGCGGTGTGCCTCTGGGCGGCCCTCAGGGCGCAGTCACGTTCCGAGCGGAGGCGCTGCTGCCGGACCAACCCATGTTCGGTCAGTCAGGCAAATCGGGGGCAGCTGCTGGGAGGGAAAACCGCTGTCTAGGACGTCAATAGCTGGGGGTTGAGAGAGACCGGCGGCCCAGGCCACAATGCCCTGGTTCCTGGTCCCCAACCTTTGACACACCGAATCCTACAGCAGCACCAATACCAGCACCAGCTCCAGCTCCAGCCCGCACAGCTTCACACCCCGGAGCCTTACTAACCTGGGCAAGGTGCCGGTCATTTCATAGACCAGAAATGCAGTTGCACGCGCACATCTCCTCTTTCCCCCTGGGTTCTAAATCGGGCCGACCGGTCGGGACATGCTGAGCTGCCACACAAAAGCCGTCCCGCGCGACAGTCCGCAATTATATGCTTTCAACTAGGTAGCACCCGCACCACGTCAAGGATTCTTCGCCATAGAAGCCTGCCTTCTCTGCTGTTGACACGCATATACACATCGTTGGATGCCGGTGGTGGGTGCGGAACCACAGAGCGATCCACAGAGATATTGACTAGGGTGACTTGATGAGGCTGGGTTTCGCAGGGTAGCGGTCGCAGGGTGAAGATATCACCCCCCTGTCCCACACATCATACACAAAGCCCTAAAGCCGTAAATGTAAGAGACGACAATTATCAATCGCAAAGCCCTGAAGCCACTGAAGCCGTTAAGAGGGAGAAGTCAGCTTGAACCGCACTACCGTTCGAGTAGCAGTAGTAGGGGGGCCGGCCAGCCGAACCCGCGACGCTTGAGCTTGGGGCTGCGGGGTAAAGGGGGCGGGCCGGGAAGGAGGAACCGCTGTCAGCCCTTCCTCTCCGGCACGGTGACCGGCGGCGGTGATCGGACACTGTTGCGGGATCGCTGTTGTCTTGTCTTGTCTTGTGGGTACGGTCTGGCTGCACGGTCCCTCTCTGCGTCTACAACTACATGCATCCCGTAAGGTCTTCCCGCAAACCCGACAGCTGTTGGACCTTCTGGCTCTTTCAAAATGACAATGATGGTGCTGCTGATGATGATAACACAGATGGCAAGGTGCACAGTTGGACCTGCTCTACCGCCCAACAAGCGCAAGATGTGTACGACCGTACGGCAGCGGCAGGGGTGAGTGCAGTGGGTGGGTGGGTGGAGGCCATTGTTTTTTTAGGAAATGGCAGGAGCATGAGGTCGGGTTGGTTGGCAAGTAGTGTAGAAGAAGCTTCCGCAGCCATCATCAGCCGCCTCCCTCCCCCCCAAGCATAACCCTTCTCGCTGGGATCTCCGCTTGGCACTCAGGAGGAAGGCGTGGTGGTGAAGGCGCTGGAGGAGCCGTACCGCCTGGGCTGCCGTACCAGCACGTGGATCAAGATCAAGCCCGACTACCTGACGCAGGGCGAATTTGACGCGGTCATCCTGGGCCAGCTGTACGACCATACCACGAGGTACAGATGTACAGAGTCTGCCTTCATCCCCCCATCGACCCCAATTTGCGCATTATCCACTTTTCCGCCCTCCCTTCCTCCCGCCTTCGTTCTTGGTTCGTCTTCCCATCCCCCCTCCCTCCGTTTGCTCTTCTCGATGATGGACTCTGGGGCATGACCCACATGCACCCCTGCTACAGCCAAGTCAGCGTCGGCGGGGTGTACCTGCTCGGGCTTCCTGAGGAGCAACCCCAACTGGGAAAGCCCACCACATACGTCACCTTCGCTGTGTAAGTGCCGTGCACTGCTGTACGTACGTACGTACGTAGGACGGAGCATCGTACTCGTATATGCGCTCAAAGGCTATCTCAAGTGCTGGTGCGGCTGCATTTTTCTTTCTGCATCATCATGGTCATCATAATCATCCTCAGCAAGTTGGCGTCTCATGAGAGCTTTGTGCACCTTCCAAGGTGTAGCTCTACGACGCGGTCTGTATGTGTACGTGTGTGTGTGCGTTTTTATAATCTTCCGGCCGAAGGACGGGAAGAAATGCAGTTGGTGGCGCAGGAATACCTCGAAGTGAGCTCCGTAGTCCCACAACGTGTTGGAATAATCTTTCCAATGAAACTGTAGATGTGGCGTGAATGCTTCAAGTGGATGTTGATGGGAAAGAGAAAAAAAGTGCTGTATGTATGTGTGTGATACGACTAAGGCGATTCTGGCCGTGCCATATATGCGCTGATCGCGAGCCCCTAACCACCGTCGAAAGTTGATGTTGCGGATCCCTGGCGGATGTGCCCTGGTCCCGACGCCGGCACCGGGGTGGTGCGGCGGTTCAGGGTGGGCACCGGCGTCTCTCGCGAGCAGCGCCTGTCGCTGCTGGAGCCGCGGCTGGCCGGCAACCTGGTGGCTTCACCCCGGGACCTGGCGGCAGCTGGCCCTGCTGCCCGCCTGCGTGCCGTACCCCGCTGGTGCCGGGCAACCGGGTCGCGGGACGAGTGGCCTGACTGGTGGGTCCGCGACCCCGAGCGAAGCGTGGTGGTGCAGGTGGGCGAGCGGGCGTAGGAGGGACCGTGGGTGTGTGTATGGGGTGTATGGGGTGTATGGGGTGTATGGGGTGTATGGGGTGTATGCAGCAGTGCAGGTGTGTCAAGAGAGCGCAGCACAGCAGCAGAGGGTCGAGTGGTTGCTGCTAAGCGGCCAATGGTGCTAAAGATGGTAAGGCAGGAAACATGGCTGGCGTGTCGAAAGGTCAACAAAGGTTAGTACTGCAGCTAAACAGGCAGTCTTTTCACCTGCCGTACAGTCACATTCCAGGATGTGGTGGTTGTGAACGAAGCGTACAAGTGTACAAGTGTGGCCAGTAGAAAGGCGTATTCATTCCTGGGAGCGCAAGTGCGCAGCTTGGGGCTAGGTGGGTGACCTCCAGGTCGGCGGCCAAATGGACGCCTGTCTTTTTGTCTGTCTGTCTGTCTGTCTGTCTGATACGCCTGCCTACCGTTTCACCGTGAGGCTATCTGTGCATAGTGCGGTCTTCCGGGCATGTTGCTTGTTATCCGAGCATACAGGTGAACGCCGATGTGCGGCTGACACGCACGAGTACCTTCGCTGCGGGCTACACCACACGCTTCCCGCGCATCACGCGCATCCGAGATGACAAGAGCCCCCGACAGGCCACAACGCTGCGGGAGCTGCAGGACTTTGTGCGCAAAGCGGCGGCCACCGGCGGCGGTGACGGCGGCAGGGGCCGTGATGCCGGGCCTGGAGGCGGCGTCGCTGGTGGTGCGCGCCGCCAAGGTAAGGTGTTACCGCGGCAAAGCTGTAAGCAACGATTCAATTGCTCGATTGCGTGCTCAACCAGCTATCCGACGACCGCTGGTTGCGGACATCTCCTCTCCAAAAGGAGCTCCGAGTTGGAGTGAGGGACAGCGCAAAATGGAGCTTACTGGGAGCCATACATGGCAATTTAAGTATTCACACTCTGAAATTGGTGGCAGCTGAGAGCTAGCGGCTAGCATTTAGGCTAGCGGTCAGGCTCACAGCACCAAGCGGACGCCTACACGTACCTCGTCGGAGGTTTCTCTTGGCAGCACACATAGGGGCAGGTCCCGGTCTTAAGGTCCCCCGCGTCGCATTTTTCGGGGGATATCCGCACAAGTCTTTGTCGTGCTTGATCCACCCTTCCGTGCCATGAAAGTATGCCTGGTAAACCCGTGGGTGAGTCGCCACACAACCCAACCAATGATTGCGACGCCCCTCGCAGCGCTCTCATCCTGCGGGGCTGCGGGTGCTGATGATGTTGCTGTTACGCCTGCTGGAGTCACCCGCGGCCGCAGCAGCAGCGGGCGGAAACGGCCCCACCAGCAGCAGCTGCGGCCGACCCCATCACGGGTGCCGCTGCATTTGCAAGCTATGGACTTGTCTGAGGTGTGTCTTTCCTGTGTAGCTGAATGTGGTGCCTCTGATTGCCGAGCTGGTCCTTTCAGTGTGCCGCGTGTTGTGTTTCGTCCGTACACCTGTCCGTACACATTCAGATTCTTGATTGGTCTGGCGAAATCCGAGGCGGGGGGTTCCTTGCATTCACTCCCCTGGACGGAGTCGATGACGACACCGACCATGTGATGTGGAGATTCCGTATTGAAGTTGAGGCAGTAGTGACGCCGTACGACACATGTACGATGTGTGCGTGCTGTATACCCGTCCGTACTTGTGCGCACGCAGGTCCCCGTGCATTACGACCTGCTGGGTGGTGCATACGTGGTGTTGGAAGGGCTGTACGGGGCCGCTGTTGAGAAGCGGCGCGGGGAGCTTTCTCGTCTGGTGCGGTTGATCGGAGGACGGCTCTCGGCCAATTACGTAGGTACTCTCGTGACGGCGGCATGCCGTGGCGTAGGCAGCTATTCAAAGCAGGGTTATTGCGCACCTTCATTCTTCTCGACGGTGAAGAGATCTATCTACCTGAGGGCAGTGAAGTACTTTTACGAGTGTTACACACTGGGCAAAACTCGGATGGCGGAAAAAGAAGAAGAGGAAGAAGAAGAAGGGCTATTGTTCTATCGCCGCAGATAGCCGTGCCAGTTTGGTCTCTCATGTGCCGTACCAGGTTGCCGTACCAGAGTGACAAGTTAGCATTTGACAGTTGACGACAACTTATGAGCATTTACACGTAATCATCTCCAAAGCGCAACACAGTAATCCAGGGCAGGTGCGGGAAGCTGCAGGTCCCGGTCACCTCCGGTATGTTCCCAGGTCTTAGCACCTCACCTAATAGGTGGTTCCCAACATTGCAACAGCAGCCGTCGACAGAGTACGTGAGCTTAACGGCTGGTGGTGGTGCTGCTTCCCGCAAACAGGTGCCAAGTGGCGAATGCCGTACATCGTACATCATCGTGGATGAGTGGGTCGATTCATGCCACCCCGGTCGGGACCGCTGTCGCGACCTGCTTCGCCCCTCCTGGCTAGAAGACTGCTACATGCAGGTGGTGGGGGTTGGGCTGCAGCCCACATGGCAAGCAGCTCGCCTCAGGCGATCCATGCATTTGTGGGGTAGCGACACCGCATTCGCGGAGGGGGAGACAACTGGGCTGTTGCACTGGACCCGTTGCGCGCGCGCGCGTGCTGAGGCCGCAGTGCTGCCGGCATAATGACAGGCAGTTGTGACTGGGGAAAGTACGACAGTATCATCGTAGCAGGCAATGTGGCTGCGAGAATTTTCCAAAACTGAAATAAATGAAAAATGAATGAATTATTACGGGGGGGTTGTGTGTGACCTGTTCTGTCCCCCCCACGTGGCCTACACAAGCGCAGCGACGTCTCATCTGGCCACCCAAGCCATCGCAAGCCTGGCGCCTCAGCAAGGCGACCCTTGCCGCTTGCGCTCACCAAATGGACCCGTACGGCGACCCGTACTTTGAGCTACTGGACGAGCAAGAGCTAGCCGCGGTTCTTGAGTGGCATGTGGAGGTCCCCGGCGCCGGGCAGCCGCGTCGAGCCTTGGCGGAGGCGGAGGCGGAAGTGGAAGTGGAAGTGGATGCGGGCGCTGTGAAGGGGGGGAGTTGGGAGCGGCAGCGACGAGGACGAGGACGAGGGGCGGCGGAGGGCCAGACGGTGGCGACAACGACGACGACAACGACGGCGTGGACAGGCTACACAGGCGGTACGTTACCTTCCTTCAAGAAACTTGCTTTGGCCGGCGCCCGCGTTGTCCTCCATCCCTGTTCATGCATGCATTGGAAGGGTTCACAGGTGACAACAGCATTAACAACATCAACAACATGAACAACAACGGGTTTCAAGGACCATCTCGACTATGAAACACACTCGCATACATGTTCGCCTGTATGTTGACCTCCTGCACACGTGCGTTTTGCCTCACCCCGCTGCCCTGGCCCCGGGGAACAGTCACCTCGTTGCCGACTGGCGAGGCCGCCGGGCCGTTACTCCGCCGGCTGGAGGCGGAGATGGTGGCACACGAGGTCGAGCTGCCGGCGGGGCTGCACCGCCTGTTTTCAGGGGCGGTGGTGCTGCTGCTGGACCTGTCAGCATCTCTCTTTCCACAACCATCCGCCGCATCGTCCACAATCTTAACTTCACTAGTTGCCGCCGCTGACACCGCAGCAGCTGCGGGACCCTGCTCGCGTGTTCGCGTGTCGTCACTTCACAACGCTGTTTCCGCCTCGCGGTGCTCCGAGAACATAAACACGACCGTTCAAATCGGCTCATCATCAGGTGGCCGTGCGGAGGATACGGATGATGCGGACCATGCCGCATGTGAGGCAGCAGGCGCAGCAAGCTCGGTTACGGAGGGTCACACGCTGGGCCGTAAGACCATTCCGCTTCTACACAGCGTCCTCGAGGTCGGTGCCCTAGCGGCCCGTTGGGCTGAAGAGGAAGTACGGCAGCAGCTGCAGGAGTTGCAGTTAGGGGTACTGCGCGGCGGAGGCGAGCTGGCCGCTGGGTGGTCTCCTGCCATTACACATGTCGTACTGTACAGTGGCATAGTCGAGAGCTGCGAGGCAACGACAGGGGGTGTTAGCACAGCTAGCAGGGCTGCCGTCAGGCTTGCAGAGTGCAGCGGCGCCGCTGCTGAACTGGCAGTTGCTGCAGAGCCGACGGCACCGTCGGTACCACCTCGCGCCTTCTGTGCGGAACGTACGCTAGCGGCGCTGCGGGAGAAGTGCACCGAGCAGCAATGGGAGGCAGCGAACAGGGAGCTCGCTGAGTACGCAACTGCCGAGAGGGCGCGCTGTAGCGGCCCTTGCCAATACGGCCATGCATGCGGCAGCAGTAACAACAGCAGGAGTACCAGTAGCTATTACCGTAGCCTTTTTCCTGGAAGCCCAAGCGGCTGCGAGGATGCAAGCGACACCGACACCGCCGCAGAGGGCTCGGAGGCGTCCGATTTGCAGCCATCCTCGCCGTCCCCGCATCCCGGGGCAGTCCCAGGGTTTGTGTACGGCACCCGGCGGCTAGTGTTGCGCTCTGGGGAGGGAAGCGGGACCGCCAAGCAGGAACCTGACCGCGCACAGCACCACGCGCCATCGGGCATGGAAGGCAGCAGGAGGCGCAGCAGGGAGCGGCGCCGACGCAACAAGTTGGCTCAGCTATTGCGGCGGCTGGTAGGGGCGGCTATCCGCGGCTGCAGCTGCAGCACCTCGCAGCAGCACCCGCACCGCCTGTGGGGATGCGGATCGGCATGTGGCGGCGGCGTCCGGGTGGTGGATGAGCGGTGGGTAGCCGGCCAACGAGGCTAGGAAGCCCCTGGGGGCCCCCCCGCGACAGGCCTTTGAAGCGGCCGTTCACCCCTAGCTCTTAAGTATGGAGGTATCCGTCCCCTTAGCACTGGTGGGGTGGTTGTCGTACGAACAACGGAGAACGGCACGTTGGGTCAGAAGTTGCCCCGCGGGAAGCAAAAAAAACGCGCTTTCTGCTTCTGCCTGGTTTGCTGGTTTGAGCTTTCGGTAGTGCTAGAAGGCGGTGCTATAAGGTCTTTGTTGCGCGTTTTATGTTATCATGTTTAAATGATAATGCCAAGGCCGTGCGAGGAATTGCAAGTCACGTGTCTGGAGTACTGCCCCTCGAAAGCGTACCCTTTCGAAACAACCCAATTTTTACGCTGTTGCGGCTACTCGATCTGATAGGAAGCCGAAAACTGATGTTCCTTCCTCATCGTCATTCGCACACCGACGCAGGTGGATCCGGGACAACCTGCTGGAGGCAGTACGGGTGTACGGCGCTACCAGTGGTCGCGACCGTACGGCAGATGTAGCTGCGGCGGAGGCGGCTGCGCACCAGAACAGCCCAACCGGCAGACGCGTCCGTGATAATGTAGGTGGCTGTCCAGCCACTGGACATGGCGGCCTTGGAGGAATACTCGGTACGGAACCGCTGTACGGCGATGACAGCGGCAGCAGCAGCGACGGTGTTAGCGACAAGTCTTCTTCCGGCGGTGGCAGTGGCGGCTTCTCACTGTATAGCGGTGGATTCATGCGGCTGCCCGAGGCTCTGTACGCGCCGTTGCTGCGGGTCCCCAGGAACGCACCTCGGTGTGCATGTGTATCAGAGGACGCAGCAACCCCCCCGACCCACAACGCGGGTTCGGCCCCACCGCACCTGCCATTCCAGGTATTGCTGCAACAAACGTACCGGCAGCCGTGTTGCAGACATGCAGCTCCCCCCCCTCCCCTTCTGGAACCGGGACCACAGCATTCCCCTCAGCAGCTGACGAATCAGCTGCCACCGCCACCGCGGCCGCCGCACCATCTATCGGTGCTGCTGCCACCGCACCAGCAAACGCACCCACGTTTGGGCCCTCCTGCAGTTACGGCTAGCACACAAGGAGATGGTTTGCTGCTTGAAGCCGGCGTGCAGGAGGCCATGGAACCGCAACCGCTTGCCGCAACCGCTTGCAGGGCCTTGCTGCATATGGCCGAGGAGATGGACATGCAGTCCGAGGACCGGGGACTTTGGAGTGCGCGAGGGGCGCAGCAGCCGAACACACATGGCCCTCCTACCGCAGCCAGTTCTGCGCCTCATACTCACAGCTTACGTAACGGTCGCGGCGGCTCCCCAGACTTCAGCTCCGTTGCTCCAAATGGTTCCAAATGGGCTGCGCGTTCCTTGTGCAAGGCCCCGGACTCCGATAGCGCACCTGCGGGACGCAGCTTGCCCGCCATGGTGGTGCCGACGGCCACAGCATCTTTGGCGCCAAGCTGCAACACAAACCCCCGCCAGGCATTGTCTGGCCGCCTCTCGTCGCCGCTAGGTCCCGTTTGTCGAAGCCCTGACGCCAGGCTGTCCTCTGGTGTCGTCGGGTCGCAGCAGCTGCAGGCCGGTACTGGCTTCGATACTGGGACTTCAAGCAACCCGACAGCGGCGTCTCGGCAGCATGCTAGGCTTCCATGTGCGCGACCAGCCGCAGGCCCGAGCTTTCTTAAGCGGGTCTTGGATGCGTCTTTCTCCTCCTCCTCCTCCTCCTCCTCCTCTTCAGATGATGATGATTTTGGAGGCAAACGTGACGGCGTCCTGAAGGGTGTGAGGCAGGATGTCCTACACAAAGGCGTCGCTGGGGGGCATGCTGCTTGTACGCGGCCTAGGGGCATGTCACCCGTTTTGCACAACAACCCCCCATACACTACCACTGCGCTTCGGCCTGCGGAGCGGACACCGCTTTCGTGTGCTACACCGGCTTCGGAGCCGTCCTTGGCTGGGTCGTGTGCAATAAGCGGTCAGGGATATATACCCTCCACAACGCTCCCCTGTGCAGCTGACGGCCTGGCAAGGGGCACGTCATTCCCGCAACTGAAGCGAAAGCCATTGGCCGCGGCATTGACTACAGCAGCAAGCATGTCCGGCCTGGCTGCCCCATCTGCAACACCGGAACCCCCTCCATTACTTTGCTGGCTGCGGCAATTTCCTGAGGCGGTGCCACGGCATGACTCGGCATCGGCCCCTGCTGCGGTAAAGCCCTCCTGCCGGATAGGGCATGATGGCGCCGAGGATGGCAACACCACGTCATTGCGATCTGGTAGGAAGTCCTTGCGGCATATTGAGTGCGTTCCCGGCTTCACGGGAGCGATTTTCGATGCAGCTGAGCCACACGGCTGTGGTCCAAGTCAACATAGGCCAAGTTCACTCAGGTTGCCTTCCTTGGGGAATGAAAGGGCCCTTCCGCAGGTGGCTGATGAGTTGACGTCGCTGCCGGCGCCGCCAATAGAGGTGTCTTGGGCCCAGCTTCTGCCGCAGCGCCATGCGCATCCACAACAGCAGGACGGTGGGGTGGAGGGGGAGGGGGATCTAGCCCGTACGGTTGGGGTCATAAAGACCGTGATTCGACAGGTGGGACCTTTGCCAATGGATGCATTGGATGGAGTGGGGCATGCTGGTGGCGGTGCTGCGGTTGCGTTGAGTGACCGGGAGGGGGTTCCAAAGTCGGGTGATTGTGGTAGGAGTGCTGGGAGTGGCAGCAGCCAGGCCGGTCCGGCTGGTGGGGAGAGCTGCAGCATTGGGAACGCGGGTAGCGACGGGACACAGGCGAAGTCGCACCGCAAGCGTCGCCGCAGGAGCTGGCTTGTGGTCCTGGACACGCTCATGGATGATGACGTCGATGGATGAAGAGCATCGGAAGTCGAGCAACATGTCACCGCCTTTACGCGTTACTTTTCCTGCCTCTCTCTCTCCTTTCCTTTGCCATGCATTTCGCCTTGTATGTTGTGCGTTCTTTACTATGTGTCTTGAGGCAGGCACTAGGAAACTGTTGAGTCTCTTCGCGGCGCTTATGGGTCCGGTTTGTAGGTACGGCCCCCCTGTACGCATCCGCGTGGCTGAACACAACCAAGGAACACGTGTAGGAGGATCGTCTCTACCCTCCACGGTGGCTTAAACACCGATCACTTTCGATTTCGGTGATTGCAACGGAGGGTTAGTGCTTACAGGAGTATGTGTGACTTCCACGGTCGGGGTGAACGCGTCTTCGGGTACCGTATTGCCACGGTATTTTGGTGTCACGCAATTGGCATGGCGTCACCAAATGCATGTCAGTGGAAAAAGCTCTATGGCAGATTTTTTTGCCCGTCGCCAAAATAAGTGTCACCAATATGCTGTACGTCAAACATGCATACGATAACAGTTTTGCTTGAAGGGAGGTTTCGGAATTTGCGGTTCCACCCCTTGCGGTATTTTTTAGCTCTTCTTATTTGCTGCTTGGCATGTGATTGTTCCCTTGCGGCAGAGGGGACTTTTGCGGGATTTGTAAGGGGGCCAGCTCTTTGGTGCCTTACCTGTTTTGTTTGGTTGACAGATTGAATTCCTGGACCTCCTGGAGCGTCGCCAAAATGTGTGTCACAACTGCAATTATATCCGGCACTCGTTACCAAAATTGCAAATCATTAGCATAATTTCGGCTAGCACCCCCGCGCGGACTCCCGAAGGCGCTATCGCGAGGTAGGGACTCACGCCTTGCCGCATTTTGCATATCGGGTGCGTTCCTAACGATTCCGGGAATGTAAAGCTATTGATTGAGATTACTGTTGCAGCGAGAAGCGTCGCGCTGGGCGATTCCGTTGGCGGACTCCAGGGAGGCTTCGCACCGTCTTCGGGAGTCCGCGCGGGGGTGCGGTCGGCACTGATCTTTCGAGCCTTCCCCGAAAGCGTGCCACAAAAAATTGTGGCAGTATGGTATATGTACGAAAAATAAACACATCAAATCAGCGGACAACCTCGAGTTGTTGCAGGTTTTTTTTGTAATGGCTGGATTTTGGATGCGCGGGATGGGGGTTAGCTTTCGTCCCTCTTATGTCTGTTCGCCAAGGCATGGCTGTCGGCCCAGGCACAGCAGCACGCTCCTGCCAGCGAGGCTGCCATACTGGTGTCAACAACTTCTTGGGCGTTTCTTTGCCTGGCAGAGTATCCTTTGGATTCCTCTAGGGATCCTGGGCTAATACCTGCAAAACGTACCTGAAAATGGTGAAAGCGTTTCATATGTACCCAATTCTCTAGACCACACAACGGCAACAAGGGTGAGATCGGCAACGTTTCAGGTTAGGGAGAAGCACATGATGTGCAGGAAAGTGTTAGTTCTATTTCCAATAAAATTGACTGTTAGCATGAGACCTCAACGGCCTTGGATGCCGTATGCGCTGCGTCCCATTGAAGTAAGCGTCTCGAAACCATAGGACTGACGTACGTTGTACGATCCTCAGATTCATATAGATATGAGGCGCGCCTACTCCGATAAATAGTAATATAATTTTAGTTTTAATTCGTTTGAAAGTGTTACCTATTATGGCTTCTCCACTGGAATGCTTCTTTTCAGTAGCCGATGGTCCAGGAGCATCTATATGTGGGTCCGCGGTACCTTTTGTAAAGTTGGATTTGGGTTGAAGATGTCCATCGTTGTAGATGTTCACAGTTGTCAATATCATATAAACATGTAGACGCCCGTGACGGGCCGCGAAAATCTTATAGTTCTGTAATGGCTTTGTTCCTCGGCATTACCATGGATCCCTTTCATCTTTCCCAAGGCAAGCTTTTCAGCTGTTGCTGCTGGGCCTGTGACTGACGGGAGGTTTGGAACCTAAGGGACGCGTCCTTTCTTCCTGTGATTTGATGTCCTTTAGAAAGGATTTTCAATGGCGATTGCTGAATTCGCGCACGTGGCTCTTAATGTTTCCCTCAGGTTCCACCAAGGTTCGCGTTTCTTCTTGGGGAGGCCTTGGACGTCCTGGAGGGAGCGAGCCAGGCGCTTCCATGCTTATCTCTGCCTTCTTGTGAATAATGGTGAGAGCGCGCATGATGCCTTCTTTTTGGATTGGCGCAAGGTACTCGCTTATTGCGAGAGTAGTTGTTGCTGTTTGAAACAAATATTCTGTAGTTTTGAATATGTGGTTGCTGGACATTGCGCAGGCATCATGGGCAACAGATCAAGCAGCGACTACGCGACCCGCAAACAAAGCGCGGCTCATCGGGGGCTGCCTTTGCGGCATTACACGCAAGGTTCCGAGCACAATCGCAAGCTGCAAGTTCGCCTTCAAGAAGTTCCTGCTTACGCCATCTTCTGTGCCGAGCTCGCCAGGTGAGTGAAATTGCAGAGCCTTTCTGTTTTGGTGAAGAAAGCGGGTCAAGTGCGGGAACTGGCCATGTTTAAGGGTAAATCGGCTTCATCATCGTCGCGGTCATGAATGCTTTAGGAATTCTGCTTCGAGCCTTGAAGCACGACATGTATTTTTCTGCCCCCGATGGGTGGTTACTAGGGCCCCCTGGATTTCCAGGGCCTGGCATTGAACCATCAATGCTTGGGCTCATCGGGGGATGGGGATCCTAGTTCCCCGCGTAGCACGCAGCATCCCGAGCCGCAGTGCTGCTCCGCAAAGAAAGGACGTCAGACCCGGGGCAAACCGCTGTGGAGAACCAACGTGAAGATGCATGGCCTGATGTACAGTAATCTGAAGACAAAATCTACTAGCGGCGAAAACCACTGGTACTGAATTCTCCAAGCAAGATGTCTGGGCGACTTCCTGGGTGGGTTGGCGGTTGCTTATAGATCGCACTAGACATGTTTACTTTTTGCAGGTCAGTCCTCTTAAACCAGAGAGACCACAAGCGCCGCAGCCTCAGCACTGACCTCGCCATGGCGTTTTACCTAAAGGTTCTGTGTTCGCATATTATCGGATAAGAGTTGGCGACCTGCACTTCAGCAGTAAGGCGCAGGAGATTCCGTTGCAACCGTGGCTCCTAATGGTCCAGCAACATATGTCCAGTAATGGTTGGTTAACCCTTTCGTGCGCGAACTCTCACGCTTTCGCGCGCCGATTTTGATTCTGGGCAGTTACCGAACAGTTATATTGCTGCCCTTAGCAGCTTTGGCGTTCCTTCATACCTGTGCTTCAAGAATAAGGTGGGTCATCTGGGTAATTTTTTTCCCGAGAGCATGGGGGAAGCGTACTAGCGAAACTATTGTATTAGTGCTCGGGTAGATGGGCTCCTTCCAGAAACCTGTTTTGCAGAACTGGACGACCAAAACATGGCAACCTTATGGGAAGTGAGCTGTGGAGTTTCTTCGCTTTTGCCGTCCATCCACATGATCTCGTGGGAAACGAACGTCCATCAACACGATCTCAAGGAAAACGAAAAACTACCGAGGGGGCTCACCCGAACGACGACGGAGGCTGGTCGTTTCACGACGCGAAAGACTTTGTTGGATTACCCTGCCGTTGGTTCCTTCGCGCCAAGCGATACCCGTCATTTCAAGAATGTTCGGATAGAGGCATTCAACGAAAATTGCCTTAGACGATTTTATTTGCAAGACTCCTCCGTGGTCACAGACGCGTGATGAGAAATTGTGTCTATTTTGTATTGATGGCTGTATACATAGTGGCAGTACATTCGTAACGGTTGTTCCTGTACATCACCTTATGGATTCATGCGGCTATATAACATATACAAGTCAAGGAACCTAGGGTTTTATTGCTTCCTCTTGACGTGTACACAACCGCATACCCATGCTGTCGTATGGGTGTACGTATGGACAATAGCGAAAGGGATTCAATTGTGGTGTCTGGCCACGTTTGTTGCCCTGCATGGCAAGCATCCTGTTAAGATGCAAATAAACGGAATGCATGCGGTAGTGATGAGTATTGTGAATAATACTTTGGTGTCGTTGTCCTGCTGAACCACCGCAGGGCACAAAGTAAATGAGTACTTTACAAAGATATCCAGCTGTTGTAAATGAATAAAGTTTGATTTGATAAATATATGCCCATGCACTTGCATTCATTTAAGTGGCAAAAAGATACGATATTGTGGCAAAAATGCATTAAGTACATGTCCCGTAACTTCCAACGTTACTATTCTTTATTACTGTAAAGCACCCATCCTCCCCGTGCACGCAAGCATGTTTCCCTCGAACATGAGTGAGCGAAAACTCGCAAATGCCGCAAGCACTTGGTCTTGTAAGTTCTTGTGATGTTCCCTGCCCAAACCCGCATGCGGGCATATCACCGAGTCCCTATCCAAGTAACCTGGAAAGCCACAATGAACATCTGTGAAGACTAGAATGGCAGGCGCAAACCACTAACTACTTCGCAGATGTTGAAACCGTGCAACTTGTAGTCCGAGGCACCTCACAAGCCCGTTGTTATACCTGGCTGCCGTGGCTGCGTGATCGAAGTCACACTGGGAACGCCTCGTGTTTTACCTGGAATTGGAAAACGTCCATTTTTGACAATGGTGCTAATTAGGCACATGGTCTCATGGCCCCACCCCCTTCCCTCAATTCCTCTGAAACTGACCCCCGAGTCCGACCTACTTGCCTCTCACTAAGCTAAATAACAGACATTTTCACGCGTGGCATGGCGTGTGACGACAGGCGATCTACAATTTTAGGATTTTGGGTGCTTCTTAAGGTCAAACGCATCCATCCTCCCCATGCACGCAAGCAATTTTCCCTCGAACATGAGTGAGCGAAAACTCGCAAATGCCGCAAGCACTTGGTCTTGTAAGTTCTTGTGATGTTCCCTGCCCAAACCCGCATGCGGGCATATCACCGAGTCCCTATCCAAGTAACCTGGAAAGCCACAATGGACATCTGTGAAGACTAGAATGGCAGGCGCAAACCACTAACTACTTCGCAGATGTTGAAACCGTGCAACTTGTAGTCCGAGGCACCTCACAAGCCCGTTGTTATACCTGGCTGCCGTGGCTGCGTGATCGAAGTCACACTGGGAACGCCTCGTGTTTTACCTGGAATTGGAAAACGTCCATTTTTGACAATGGTGCTAATTAGGCACATGGTCTCATGGCCCAACGCCCTTCCCTCAATTGCTCTGAAACTGACCCCCGAGTCCGACCTACTTGCCTCTCACTAAGCTAAACAACAGACATTTTCACACGTGGCATGGCGTGTGACGACAGGCGATCTACAATTTTAGGATTTTGGGTGCTTCTTAAGGTCAAACGCATCCATCCTCCCCATGCACGCAAGCAATTTTCCCTCGAACATGAGTGAGCGAAAACTCGCAAATGCCGCAAGCGCTTGGTCTTGTAAGTTCTTGTGATGTTCCCTGCCCAAACCCGCATGCGGGCATATCACCGAGTCCCTATCCAAGTAACCTGGAAAGCCACAATGAACATCTGTGAAGACTAGAATGGCAGGCGCAAACCACTAACTACTTCGCAGATGTTGAAACCGTGCAACTTGTAGTCCGAGGCACCTCACAAGCCCGTTGTTATACCTGGCTGCCGTGGCTGCGTGATCGAAGTCACACTGGGAACGCCTCGTGTTTTACCTGGAATTGGAAAACGTCCATTTTTGACAATGGTGCTAATTAGGCACATGGTCTCATGGCCCCACCCCCTTCCCTCAATTGCTCTGAAACTGACCCCCGAGTCCGACCTACTTGCCTCTCACTAAGCTAAACAACAGACATTTTCACACGTGGCATGGCGTGTGACGACAGGCGATCTACAATTTTAGGATTTTGGGTGCTTCTTAAGGTCAAACGCATCCATCCTCCCCATGCACGCAAGCAATTTTCCCTCGAACATGAGTGAGCGAAAACTCGCAAATGCCGCAAGCGCTTGGTCTTGTAAGTTCTTGTGATGTTCCCTGCCCAAACCCGCATGCGGGCATATCACCGAGTCCCTATCCAAGTAACCTGGAAAGCCACAATGAACATCTGTGAAGACTAGAATGGCAGGCGCAAACCACTAACTACTTCGCAGATGTTGAAACCGTGCAACTTGTAGTCCGAGGCACCTCACAAGCCCGTTGTTATACCTGGCTGCCGTGGCTGCGTGATCGAAGTCACACTGGGAACGCCTCGTGTTTTACCTGGAATTGGAAAACGTCCATTTTTGACAATGGTGCTAATTAGGCACATGGTCTCATGGCCCAACGCCCTTCCCTCAATTGCTCTGAAACTGACCCCCGAGTCCGACCTACTTGCCTCTCACTAAGCTAAACAACAGACATTTTCACACGTGGCATGGCGTGTGACGACAGGCGATCTACAATTTTAGGATTTTGGGTGCTTCTTAAGGTCAAACGCATCCATCCTCCCCATGCACGCAAGCAATTTTCCCTCGAACATGAGTGAGCGAAAACTCGCAAATGCCGCAAGCGCTTGGTCTTGTAAGTTCTTGTGATGTTCCCTGCCCAAACCCGCATGCGGGCATATCACCGAGTCCCTATCCAAGTAACCTGGAAAGCCACAATGAACATCTGTGAAGACTAGAATGGCAGGCGCAAACCACTAACTACTTCGCAGATGTTGAAACCGTGCAACTTGTAGTCCGAGGCACCTCACAAGCCCGTTGTTATACCTGGCTGCCGTGGCTGCGTGATCGAAGTCACACTGGGAACGCCTCGTGTTTTACCTGGAATTGGAAAACGTCCATTTTTGACAATGGTGCTAATTAGGCACATGGTCTCATGGCCCCACCCCCTTCCCTCAATTGCTCTGAAACTGACCCCCGAGTCCGACCTACTTGCCTCTCACTAAGCTAAATAACAGACATTTTCACGCGTGGCATGGCGTGTGACGACAGGCGATCTACAATTTTAGGATTTTGGGTGCTTCTTAAGGTCAAACGCATCCATCCTCCCCATGCACGCAAGCAATTTTCCCTCGAACATGAGTGAGCGAAAACTCGCAAATGCCGCAAGCACTTGGTCTTGTAAGTTCTTGTGATGTTCCCTGCCCAAACCCGCATGCGGGCATATCACCGAGTCCCTATCCAAGTAACCTGGAAAGCCACAATGAACATCTGTGAAGACTAGAATGGCAGGCGCAAACCACTAACTACTTCGCAGATGTTGAAACCGTGCAACTTGTAGTCCGAGGCACCTCACAAGCCCGTTGTTATACCTGGCTGCCGTGGCTGCGTGATCGAAGTCACACTGGGAACGCCTCGTGTTTTACCTGGAATTGGAAAACGTCCATTTTTGACAATGGTGCTAATTAGGCACATGGTCTCATGGCCCCACGCCCTTCCCTCAATTGCTCTGAAACTGACCCCCGAGTCCGACCTACTTGCCTCTCACTAAGCTAAACAACAGACATTTTCACACGTGGCATGGCGTGTGACGACAGGCGATCTACAATTTTAGGATTTTGGGTGCTTCTTAAGGTCAAACGCATCCATCCTCCCCATGCACGCAAGCAATTTTCCCTCGAACATGAGTGAGCGAAAACTCGCAAATGCCGCAAGCACTTGGTCTTGTAAGTTCTTGTGATGTTCCCTGCCCAAACCCGCATGCGGGCATATCACCGAGTCCCTATCCAAGTAACCTGGAAAGCCACAATGAACATCTGTGAAGACTAGAATGGCAGGCGCAAACCACTAACTACTTCGCAGATGTTGAAACCGTGCAACTTGTAGTCCGAGGCACCTCACAAGCCCGTTGTTATACCTGGCTGCCGTGGCTGCGTGATCGAAGTCACACTGGGAACGCCTCGTGTTTTACCTGGAATTGGAAAACGTCCATTTTTGACAATGGTGCTAATTAGGCACATGGTCTCATGGCCCAACGCCCTTCCCTCAATTGCTCTGAAACTGACCCCCGAGTCCGACCTACTTGCCTCTCACTAAGCTAAACAACAGACATTTTCACACGTGGCATGGCGTGTGACGACAGGCGATCTACAATTTTAGGATTTTGGGTGCTTCTTAAGGTCAAACGCATCCATCCTCCCCATGCACGCAAGCATGTTTCCCTCGAACATGAGTGAGCGAAAACTCGCAAATGCCGCAAGCACTTGGTCTTGTAAGTTCTTGTGATGTTCCCTGCCCAAACCCGCATGCGGGCATATCACCGAGTCCCTATCCAAGTAACCTGGAAAGCCACAATGAACATCCGTGAAGACTAGAATGGCAGGCGCAAACCACTAACTACTTCGCAGATGTTGAAACCGTGCAACCTTGTAGTCCGAGGCACCTCACAAGCCCGTTGTTATACCTGGCTGCCGTGGCTGCGTGATCGAAGTCACACTGGGAACGCCTCGTGTTTTACCTGGAATTGGAAAACGTCCATTTTTGACAATGGTGCTAATTAGGCACATGGTCTCATGGCCCAACCCCCTTCCCTCAATTCCTCTGAAACTGACCCCCGAGTCCGACCTACTTGCCTCTCACTAATCTAAACAACAGACATTTTCACCGTGTGGCGTGTTCTACAGCGATCACAATTTTAGGATTTTGGGTGCTTCTTAAGGTCAAACGCATCCATCCTCCCCATGCACGCAAGCAATTTTCCCTCGAACATGAGTGAGCGAAAACTCGCAAATGCCGCAAGCACTTGGTCTTGTAAGTTCTTGTGATGTTCCCTGCCCAAACCTGCATGCGGGCATATCACCGAGTCCCTATCCAAGTAACCTGGAAAGCCACAATGAACATCTGTGAAGACTAGAATGGCAGGCGCAAACCACTAACTACTTCGCAGATGTTGAAACCGTGCAACCTTGTAGTCCGAGGCACCTCACAAGCCCGTTGTTAGACCTGGCTGCCGTGGCTGCGTGATCGAAGTCACACTGGGAACGCCTCGTGTTTTGCCTGGAATTGGAAAACGTCCATTTTTGACAATGGTGCTAATTAGGCACATGGTCTCATGGCCCAACCCCCTTCCCTCAATTCCTCTGAAACTGACCCCCGAGTCCGACCTACTTGCCTCTCACTAATCTAAACAACAGACATTTTCACGCGTGGCATGGCGTGCTTCTTAAGGTCAAACGCATCCATCCTCCCCATGCACGCAAGCATGTTTCCCTCGAACATGAGTGAGCGAAAACTCGCAAATGCCGCAAGCACTTGGTCTTGTAAGTTCTTGTGATGTTCCCTGCCCAAACCTGCATGCGGGCATATCACCGAGTCCCTATCCAAGTAACCTGGAAAGCCACAATGAACATCCGTGAAGACTAGAATGGCAGGCGCAAACCACTAACTACTTCGCAGATGTTGAAACCGTGCAACCTTGTAGTCCGAGGCACCTCACAAGCCCGTTGTTAGACCTGGCTGCCGTGGCTGCGTGATCGAAGTCACACTGGGAACGCCTCGTGTTTTGCCTGGAATTGGGAAACGTCCATTTTTGACAATGGTGCTAATAAGGCACATGGTCTCATGGCCCCACCCCCTTCCCTCAATTCCTCTGAAACTGACCCCCGAGTCCGACCTACTTGCCTCTCACTAATTAAATAACAGACATTTTCAGCGTGGCATGCGTGTGACGACAGGCGATCTACAATTTTAGGATTTTGGGTGCTTCTTAAGGTCAAACGCATCCATCCTCCCCATGCACGCAAGCATGTTTCCCTCGAACATGAGTGAGCGAAAACTCGCAAATGCCGCAAGCACTTGGTCTTGTAAGTTCTTGTGATGTTCCCTGCCCAAACCTGCATGCGGGCATATCACCGAGTCCCTATCCAAGTAACCTGGAAAGCCACAATGAACATCCGTGAAGACTAGAATGGCAGGCGCAAACCACTAACTACTTCGCAGATGTTGAAACCGTGCAACCTTGTAGTCCGAGGCACCTCACAAGCCCGTTGTTAGACCTGGCTGCCGTGGCTGCGTGATCGAAGTCACACTGGGAACGCCTCGTGTTTTGCCTGGAATTGGAAAACGTCCATTTTTGACAATGGTGCTAATTAGGCACATGGTCTCATGGCCCAACCCCCTTCCCTCAATTCCTCTGAAACTGACCCCCGAGTCCGACCTACTTGCCTCTCACTAATCTAAACAACAGACATTTTTTCACGCGTGATTTTGGGTGCTTCTTAAGGTCAAACGCATCCATCCTCCCCATGCACGCAAGCATGTTTCCCTCGAACATGAGTGAGCGAAAACTCGCAAATGCCGCAAGCACTTGGTCTTGTAAGTTCTTGTGATGTTCCCTGCCCAAACCTGCATGCGGGCATATCACCGAGTCCCTATCCAAGTAACCTGGAAAGCCACAATGAACATCCGTGAAGACTAGAATGGCAGGCGCAAACCACTAACTACTTCGCAGATGTTGAAACCGTGCAACCTTGTAGTCCGAGGCACCTCACAAGCCCGTTGTTAGACCTGGCTGCCGTGGCTGCGTGATCGAAGTCACACTGGGAACGCCTCGTGTTTTACCTGGAATTGGAAAACGTCCATTTTGACAATGGTGCTAATTAGGCACATGGTCTCATGGCCCAACCCCTTTGCCTCAATTGCTCTGAAACTGACCCCCGAGTCCGACCTACTTGCCTCTCACTAAGCTAAACAACAGACATTTTCACACGTGGCATGGCGTGTGACGACAGGCGATCTACAATTTTAGGATTTTGGGTGCTTCTTATGGTCAAACGCATCCATCCTCCCCATGCACGCAAGCAATTTTCCCTCGAACATGAGTGAGCGAAAACTCGCAAATGCCGCAAGCACTTGGTCTTGTAAGTTCTTGTGATGTTCCCTGCCCAAACCCGCATGCGGGCATATCACCGAGTCCCTATCCAAGTAACCTGGAAAGCCACAATGAACATCTGTGAAGACTAGAATGGCAGGCGCAAACCACTAACTACTTCGCCTTGAGAACTCCGACTCGTTGTCCTTAAAAAACCATCGTCTTTTGGGGACAGTTGATGTCAGTTCACTCCCGATTCTATTATCCAGCGTGATAATGAATCTTCCATGATGATGACATGATGATGATGATGATGAACCCAACCTCTAAACACGATGCACTTACATGACACATGGATTAGCATCACTGTAAACCTGGTGTGTACATATGTACTTAGGGTACTGGTGTGTACATATGTACTTAGGGTACTGGTGTGTACATATGTACTTAGGGTACTGGTGTGTACATATGTACTTAGGGTACTGGTGTGTACATATGTACTTAGGGTACTGGTGTGTACATATGTACTTAGGGTACTGGTGTGTACATATGTACTTAGGGTACTGGTGTGTACATATGTACTTAGGGTACTGGTGTGTACATATGTCCAAGCGCCTAGAGCAGCCTGCTGACTACCTACCTGCTGACCACCCATTTATCGGACTGCTTTACGTCTGCATCTGAATTCCGCCTTGCGGCGTGAAGGTTTAAAACATACGACGTCCTCGGAATTGCACTCACATAAATGAGGAATGGTTTACTTCCACATTCCGCTGGGGCCTGGGGCTCTACACGTTGCGATTATCACTATGCTTTAAATCCCTTCGGGAGCGTTGGTAAGATAGGTAACTGTTACTTCTTACAATTTGGGTTTTGGTACATCTTTGCTGCGAGAGCTAATGAGCTCAGGGAGGGTTCTGAACGAAGAATCTTTAATTATTTCATTTAACCCCCCCGGGGGGTAAAAAACAATGGACAGTCGATATCCGCAGGGTTGGGGCAGTTATCATTCATGTTAGGTGAAGGGAATGGGGATCGTCTACATGTGTTGCATGATTAATACTTTTACATATTACA